AATAAGTCGGGACTGAGGAAACCTTTATAAATGGGAGAAATTACTTATTACTATATATTTGCATATACCTATATACCTTTTCAGTCAAATACTGCCAATCAGCTTTATTCACTATCAATCATTTTTATTATCTAAACGTTACATTGTACATGATATAAAACAGTACCTTTATTTCGACCTTACTTTTGATAAACATGAAATAACGACAAGTAAGCGGTGTACATCAGCGGTGTACATCACATGGCCTCGTATTAGTTTGGAATTGACAAATAGGTGGTGTATTTCTTTAAGACATGACTTCGTTATCACATGTCAGGGTACAATCTGTCAGTATCTTCCTACACTAAGTTCATCGTTCGTCATCAGTGGACTCTATTATTACGTTAACTAGGTGTCTGGAAAAGTGAACCGTCGAAAATAAGCTGGCATTGGAGTGGACATTTTATAGTTAATCGTCGTTATTCTGCATCAGTTTCAATACTAGTAAGTCACTTGACATTATACTGAACTTAAATTATCGCATGTAAAGATGATTATAGTCATTTGTTTTAATGTTAAAACGCTATTATAAGTATATGTCGTTTCAATATTGGCGCAGTCTTTTGTCATTCAAATATGTGCTAAAATGGTACCTTACAATTTCCCCCCGTTTGTAGTCTTACCAGTATCATAAACCCAGTCTTTAACTGTGTTATATCATACGTACATGTACATAGCATACTTAGCTATTATTCCTTACACTGAAGTTTAATTCTTGGCTACTGTACCTCATGTGTCATCTTAATGCTTAGCTACAGAGGTACTGATGAAGAGACAGGTGTACCTCAGGGATCAATAGCGGGACCACTCTTATTTGTCCTATATGTGAATGATTTACCCTTATATGTCAACTCATGTGATATGCACCTATACGCAGATGATAAATCAATGCACAAAGCTGACAAGGATATTTCTAAAATTGAAACGGCCTTAAATGACGATTTGGTGAATGTCTCGACTTGGTGCAAGGAAAATAAAATGGTTTTAAATGCGGAAAAAACAAAAGCTATGGTAATTTGTACAAGACAGAAAAGGAAAGCATGTGCTAACAAATTTAACGTTATTTTTAATGATACCACTCTGGAAAATGTAAAATCAGAAAAGCTTCTTGGAGTGTGCATTGATGAACATCTGTCGTAGGATATGCAAGTTCGAGAACTTATTAAGAAAGTTGTTTTTAAACTAAAACTTTAAACTTGATGCAGATTTTTTTTCACCATCTGAACGTTTATTTAAAAAGTGAAATTGGTTGCCCCTTCCTAAAAGAGTGGCATATAATGAATGTATATTAATGTACAAGGGTATCAATGATTATTTTACTCCCGCATATCTCAAAACACACACTTTAGTCCAGGAAAGTCACAACAGAATCACACGCACCGCAACAGCAGGAAATTACCGTATACCAAAACACAAAACAGAACTTTTCAAGCGGTCATTTTTATATCAAGGACCACATCTTTGGAACAGCCTATCCACTCAAACCAAATCCTCCAAATAACTTGCAGTATTTAAAACCAACTGCAGAAACGATTTTAAACTACTAGTATAAAGCAAAAAAAACCCACCTCTCTTTCGGCCTGAACTGGACATTACGACTTTCCCATTAAGCAATATTCACGATGTGTAATTATGTTTCAGCAGCGTGTGTTACTATAACAGAATGGTTGACATATGTGTTGTAATGAAATGTAGTTATATAATTAATTACTCAATTGAAAAGCAGTATAGCTTTATATATGTATACAATATATCTTTATAATGTATGTGTTTTGCATTATCTCTTATATTTGTAACGTATTATCCATGTTGTACATACTTGTATATATGTTCTCGGCCATGTGTGAGAAGAGTCTGTGACTCAACATGTTATTATCGAGTATAAATAAAGTCTATTATTATTATTATTATATTAGCTACTATACCTCACGATAAAGCTTAATTCTAAGTTACCATATTTCACACTTAAGTTTGATGCTTAGCTACTGTACATCATACTGATAGTGATACACCTCTTTTTAATGTGATACAAACTACTCCACTTGATGCAGCCAACAGTCTATCCAGTGATCTTAAAAATGTATATGAATGGTCTAAGAAATGGGACATTAATTTTAATCCTACTAAAACAGAATCTTTAACGTTTAGTCAGAAAAATTTCTCGTGATGTCATTTTTCAAAATGAAACTGTAGCAAATGTGTCAACTCATAAACATCTTGGTGTATTTTTTTCTCAAGACGGTATGTGGCATCACCATATCAACTCTATTTATAATAAAGAGTATAAACCTTGCTGCAAGTCGGAAAAACACAGACTTATTCTTCTAAACAAAATTCTTACAGGAACTGCCCCCACTTATTTAACTGAATTAATTGAACCCTTTTTCAACAATATGAACTCATATCTATAAAGAAATGAAAGACTCTTTTCAATTTCTGTGTGAAGAACAAATACTTATGCCAAAAGCTTTATTCCGTCTACACTTAAAGATTATAATGAACTTGCAGCAAGGTTTGACCTGACTAACATTACATCACTATATCAATTTAAACAACTTTTAAGAAGAGCTGTAGTTGACATCATGTTACTAGACACAAGTAGAATCTCTACCTATGTCAACGCAGGTGATAGAAAATACAACATCCTACTCTGCCAACTTAGAAATTATTCAAGTAACCTTAATTTTGATCTACACAGAGATCATCTTACTGAATCACCAACTTGTACCTGTGGTGATGCCCATGAAACAGTACATACATTTTTTCTCATTTGTAACAAGTAGGATGAACCACGTAAAACCCTGNTTCTATCTTGCTGTGGTGATTGTGATGAACAAACCAATGTAAATATATTTGAATGTACTGCTGAGTTTGTCAGAGCTACACATAGATTTCCACATATATAATACATTATATATTTCTTATTTGATATTATGTCTCATAAATATGAAGACGATCAGTTACGACTGTGCTTCTACATAATGAACATTGTGTGTCATCATCACCCTTTCCTTTTCCTATGGCCGCCTTCCTCCTTTTGATCTGATAGGCATATATTTTGTATGTTTTGTATGCTATGTATCATTCATTATAATTATTGCGTAGTATTTTGTTTTATGTGATTGAATATTTACTAAGAAAGGACAATCTTATAATGGTGGACCAATTCAAAACCTCAGTTTGCATCTTTCTGTTTATTCATTTTTGTCATTCATATAGTATAAAATTTTCTAAAGAGAATGTAAAATCCTTGATTTACATACTAATTAAAAAATCCCTACAAAATGCATGTTTAAAAAAAATTGATTTGAATCCACCAACACTTCAAAATCTGCTAAAGTCTTTCTTTCTTAATTATCTTAACTGTAAAAATCAGAATGCAGTATCCATGACTGGCCCCAAAACTCGTGGGTGGATACCAGTTGCTGATAAGGCAATGTGGACATTTTTGGTCTGTATCCCATGCGTAGAGGGAATCCTGTCATGGATGCTGGATTCGAGGCTCTCAAAAATCATACATTTTGGAAAACATAGTGAATACACTATCTTATATATCATAACAACTCTTAGATATTGTCCTTACTTCCAAACTCATATCTCATATTTAAACATTTTATGTTTCATACTTAAAATAATCAACTTTGAAATTTTAAAATAACAACATACTATTTTATATAGCGATAAATAGTTTTAAATGTCCATGTGACGGTAAAAATATAAATAAAACAAAACACGAAGACTAGTATGATTGGCTAGCGCTTTCGCCCATCTATATTATATCTATATATATATATTTATATACTTATTATTAACATTATTAGGAGATAACTCATATAGGCTATGCCTGTTTTTCAATCCTTTTTTCTAAATGAAATAAATTTTGTTTAAATTGAAATCATACTAGTATTTTACGCTTAGTTATTGAACCTCAAACTGATGCTTAGTACTTTACCATGTTACACTATACCATACACATACATGTAGTTTTACGAGACAGTTACTGTACTACAAACATTCTTTTGATGCTTAGCAACTGAATCATACACACAGACTTATACTTAGCTACCATTCGATACTGAGGTTTGATGCTCATTGACTTTACCTTACACATAACTGCTGTACAAGAGAATGAAGTTTAATGCTGATCTACTCTACCTCACACTTACGATTTATACTTAGCTAATTTACCCCACACTGAAGTTTAATGTTTAGATGCTATACATTACACGTACATATAATAATCAGCTAGTTTTCAATACACATATATAAAGGTTTAACACTAAGTTACTTACATTTAATGCTTAGTTAAGGTACCAAATATACGTGAAGGTTTAACGCACAGTTACTGTACCACAAAACTAAGTTTAATGTTTAATACTTAGCTAATGTAACTCACAATTATGTTTCATGCTTAACGACTGAACAACATATTTCAGTTTAACGTTAAGTATCTACTATATCTACAACTTATATTGAACACTTAGCTACTGTACCTTACCCTTAGACTTAACTCTCACATACTGTAAACAAATAACGGTTAGCTACAGTATCTCATACTTTGATTTTCTGCTTAGTTACTATATCTTAAACTTAGATGTAACGCTTAGCTACTTTACCTCACACATATATTTAACGCTTGGCTGCTGTATCTCATACCTAAATTGAACGCTACACTACTGTATTCCATACTTTGGTTGGACACTAAATCTGTTTGCACTTTAAATATGTAGAGTTGCAATCAGTAGTTATTTGTTTTGTATAATAACTCTTCTGAATTTTCATTGTAGAAATACCATTAGCAGTTTAAGCAAAACTCAATCATGGAGAAGCGTCAATCTCAGTATGGCACCTTGAGATGGTCTCACGGAATCCTTGGAATAGTGATTATGTTTCTATTATTTGGCATAATATTAACATCACTGGTGACATCACAATATACTTTTCATTACATGCTGACGCACATGTATCCGAATTCAAATCTTTCAACCTCGTACGGATCCTCCTGCAATGTAAACAGGTCAACAGAGGCTTACCGCGAAAGGACGGCAGCACAGAAGGCTGTCTCACAACTGAATATTTACAAAAAAGTGGCTGATGCTGTACCCGCTCTCATAACCACAGGTGTCATGGGCGGTCTCGGAGACCGGTTTGGAAGGACAAGGATTCTAATTTTTACCACATCGTTAACATTTCTTTCTATTTGTGTTTCTAGTACTTTCATTTATTTTGAGATAGACGTTTATTATTTCTTAATCAGCAGCACGCTGTATAGTTTAGGGGGTGGTTCATATGGTGCTCTTTCTATTGGTTTTGCCTACATCTTGGATGTAACAAGTCCTGGGAAGCAGCGAACCCTGATGATAACTCTTCTTGAAGCTTCAACTGGAATAGGTGCGGCGATATCTGGGTTAGTTTCCGGTTTCATTATTGAGGGTGTTGGCTACTTCTATTCAAATATATGCGCAGGCGCAGTGGCAGCCGGTTCCGTGTTGGTGGTTGTGTTGTTTCTGCCACCTTCACGTCCTCCTCATATTTCTGTATCAAGAAAATCAAATCTTGAAAATTCACTTGCAGCATTAGCATTTTATTTCAAAGCATCTCCTATTAGATACAAATATGTTATTGGAATAATTTCTTTTATGTTCGCTGCGTTTTCTTTTATAGGCAAACAATCAATAGAAATACTTTACCAGCTAAATGCACCGTTTTGTTGGACATCTGTCAAAGTTGGATATTTCTCGGCAACTACTTCTGTCAGCATTATTTTAGGTATAGCCAATATCAAAGTTCTTCAAATGTGTTTCGTTGAGGACGTCATCGCCATATTCAGCGGTATTTCTGGCGTGGCAGCTAGTATTGTGGAGGCATTTGCCGTGAATGACTTGACCCTGTTTGTAGGTAAGAACGAATTAATTCAGACGACTGAATGTTGTAATAATTACACTGTTACTGATATTTGACGATGAGAAATATGTTAAACGAGAATATGTTCAATCTGTAATACAAAGGAAATCAAAAAGGTCCCAAATCCGCTTACGTTCGCATATCATCACTATTTTAGTGTACACCGCTTTAATCGAGCTATAAACGTACCGGCACGTGCATAATAATTGATCGTATTAATCTTCAATATATATTTCCCTTTTAAAGTTACTGTGCCGTTAACTGCCATAAAACTTTTGTAAAGATTGAAGTCATAACATTGTATACCAAAACCAGGATTGCAGCGATATTTACATCATTGTTATGCGCACGCGAAATCATGAGATGTAATGGGAGCAGAATCCAACGAGTGGCGACTATGTCTTCTCCTGGGTCAGTGATAATGTTTAACCAATGAACGTGCTGAGTGTTAACTAAAAGCTTAACAACTCCATTGGTCAAAGACATCACCAATGTTTACTTTTGCTTGATTGCACTGCTGATTTCTTTTCTCGCCTATTCTGTTTGCCTGATTGGTCGATCACGTTTTAGCATGGACGTCGCCATTACATCGTACATTTCTGCGCAAACGTGACATTATGTAAAATTATTTAATTTTTTAAGGTACGGTGAAAATAATATAAAAATCCTTATTATTTCTTTCACACGTTTTACGTAATAAGTGAAGATAATAACATTTGTTATCTAAGAAAAAGAGGAAATTCCAGTTTTATCCTGCTGATAAGAAAAAAAGATCGAAGGTTAGCGGCACGGTATCTTAAAACAATAAAAGATGTTATCGATCACTTTATTTTTACCAATAGTTGCAATGATTAAACGTCTTATTAATCGTAAACGTCGGTCAAATTTTCAAAATTTACAAAATTAGTCTCGGGTTTTTTTGTAGCCGGTTTTTATGAGCGTATCGAAGTAAGAATCAGTGCCCGGTACACTGGAGCTCGCATGTAGCTACATTATTTTATAAATGCCCTTTCATTTTATTTTCTATGTTTGCATTTGTTACATTTTAATGCAACATTTCTTAAATATTCTAAACAACAAATTTGTTGTTCTGATATTTCCCATTAAGACGCTATTTTAGCCCTTGCACTGATTGCTCTGTTCATATTGACCTGGGGATTTGTGACAGAAGGTGTGTTTTGACTTTTTCTAACGTGCAGAGTTAAATACTAGACATATTCCATAGAGTTTTTAGGTGCTCCAGCAAGAATAGGCAAAAGGTGATACACTCAGATCTGCAATTTAAATTACAAGAAAGTTAGGTTGGGTCGACTTTTGACATCAATTCGTTCATGCCTTGTTTACAAGACCTAGTCGTTCGTAGCCTTAAGTGATAACTCTAAAAAGCATATATTTAGTTCTTACAGTATGTCCTAACTTTCTTTTATCTTCTCTAGTGTTTCTAATGTCTGTTATTTTTCAGTTCCTGTCATAGGATTCATGAGTGTGTTAGTATTCCCAATGATCAGATCAATGTTATCCAGGCTGACGCCCGCGGACAGACAAGGTATTTGGTTCATGACAATCCTGGATTAGATTGATTTAAACACATTTTATTCCTATTTGCAATGGGATTAGACACAAATTATCGCAACTTATGAAGCCTTCTCCCAGAAATATTTTACACAATGTACCTGGCAACATCAACAATAAAGTTTACACGCGCCATCAATGCGAGTGACAAAGAAGATAGTGAAGAACAAAAAGAGTTGAAGAGAAGAGAGAAGAGAGATAATTTAGAACCTCCCACTGTCTTTAATAAACTTCAGTATTATTTTAAAAACATGAATGTTTTCTCCAAGAGACAAATTTGGAATATCATTTAATAGCAAATCTAAGTTTATAATACCATCTACAGATAACGAACGTAATGCTAATCGACTTTTTCTTTCATATTCATTACACACGAAAAAAAGTGAAGTGAAGTGGCCAAGAAGGTTTATATATAGTTTATCAACTACAATTATATGTTACATAGAAAGAATAGTCGATCCGTCTTCCTCTGCTGGTGAAGATACATAGTGTTTCATTGAAAAGGTAACCATACATAGGGTTCCAATTAAAGCGGGAAAAAACCATCATGAGTTTGTGAACATGTTTCTCCAAAACATTAATATATACACAACTTAATTTTCATCACAGAAGACCACGACGTCAAGATTACTGTTAATCTTGTACGACGTCGCAAAGCATTAGAACTTAGCATTTTTGTGTTGTCAAAATTCATAATACGTTAAGGACTTGTGTATTAACAATAAAATTAATTATGAAATACCACCCAGAATTAGACAGCACAACATGTTTAATGAACACATATTCTTTATAACCAATGTCTCAGGAGCAAGTAGTAGGTAGGCAAAACTCTTTAACACCTTATTTGTCCATATGGATGCATCTCTATCACATTATATACCAGTACAGGTAAAACAAAATATGTATATACATTTCGAAGCAGATCTATTTCATGTCATCGGAAAACATTTATGCCACAAAATATGAAAGTAAATGATAGTAGAATTCTGCCTATCTGATTATTTGTACTAAACGTTCGTCTCTGCATATTTAAACATCACATTATTTGTCATCGTAGGTATCATATCTTTTCCATTCTAGGTGCTCTTTTCGCGGGAATAGCCGTGGTGGAAATAGCATCAAATCTGGGAGCAAGTTTGGGAGCATCGGTCATCTACATAGCTACTGTTGGCACCATGCGGGGTTTCGTCTTCCTGGTAATTGCCGGTCTGTGGTTTCTATCCACATGTCTATTACTGTAAGTATACAGGGTCCCTGTTAATGTTTATTCTATACCTGCTTTTCCTTTAACCAACTTCAATGTTGTCTCATGTTCTTGTTACATTTTGTATTTGTAAGTATGGTAGTTTTGCTTGACCAAATTCTATCATGTAGGTTTTTCAATCTATGGTATCGTTTCGGTATCGTATCTTGATAAATTCCATAAATTCCATTTAATTCCATCAAGTGTCGATATGAGTTTTTCCTGTTCTCTCGATAGTCTAATATACAATAATCTTGAAGTGAGTTCCTTTTAAACATGGTATCTGTTCTTCTTAAATTAAAAGTGTGCCGTGTTCATGTTTTATTTTTTCAAATTCAACTACGACAGAGGAAAGCATTATGAAGTTCTATATAAATCTGGTCGAAGCCAAACACTGTATTTATCAAATTGATATTAAGCGCGGATCAAAATTCAGTGCTTAGTTCAATTGGAATGTGATCTTCTAAATTTCCATCCCATTCATATAGTTGGTAAGTAATAAGCCGAAATATGAAATCAGCTGAAATATACATTATTTTACAGTATTCTTCCTTGCCTAATATTAAGTTCAATATTCTGTCACATTTACTGGAAAGTTGGTTTGAGTAAATACTCCAGGTTTGTTCATGGGGACTGATTTATTATTACGCTGCCAACAATTCTGTAAGGGTTTGCTGAACAATGGTACCAACCATTACGCGTCATCTATAACTCAGAAAATCATGTAGGTATCGTGGAATAGTTACAGATTTTGAGCATCAATCTTTGTGGCGTGCCCAGTGTTTCAAGTCCTAACAAATCACCTCGATATGACACACTTGGGATAACTGTCGTATTCCCTAACTGTTCCTGGAACTGTTCTGTGTGTACTATACAGTGAGAAGAATTTCACATTTTAAATATTCGTAAAATGGGCAACACGCAAAAATGTATCCATTTAACAACAAGGCGATTTTTTTATTATTGTATTCCAGCGTTTATCGTATAACATCTGGAATGTCGAAGACAGCACCGTTAGCTGAGGTGACCAAAGACATAACTGGTACCCAGGTAGTCGAAGCGGACGTGAAAAACTGAGGATAGTATTATTAAGTGGAAGCACATGTAGCATCAACATTAATCTAGCAGTTCATATTAGTTATGTTCTCAAAATGGAAACCCAGATTATGAAACGACATGACTGACTGGCACACACAGACAGTGGACACGGACGTGACGAAGGAGACTTGAAATTTATAATCAGGGCTGGTGTCTTCCTGTCTGTGATATAACCTCATACTGTAGCTTTTCCTATGTCGATGTCATATTAGATTGTTCTTGAAAGGTAATATATAACACAGTATGAAACGCAGTCAAGGTCGTTAAATAAAACATTGGTGATGTGTTTAGTGTATGTTTAATATACATTTAAATAAAAACATTCAACATTAAGCAGTGACTGTTGTTATCATTAAACACTTCTGCAAAAATTACAGGGTTCTGTTTATAATTATCATTTTTTTGGTCGTTTTTTATTTATGAATTTAAATTTGTCCATGTAAAAAATAACACAAAAACTGTGTAATTTATGAAAATCATAGCGATGTTGTTTTTAGGTGACAGGGTCATCTGATGTATTAATTTGTGGCTATTTTTAGCAGCTTATTTAAGAAGGTGCAAACTGACCTCAGGTCAATGGCCTGCGGAAAATATTGCGGTTTTTGTTTTTGTTTTAATTTTTAATTTAAAAAACAACAAAATGTGGAGAAAAAGTCTCTAAGTTTTGTATAATGTGACAAGATTGTTTCCAAAATTTAATTTGTAAGTCACAGACAAATGAAGTTGTGATTTGATATAGCTTTGTGAAACGCCTTGATGCCCGTCCCCAGGTTCATGAAGAAATTTTGGATTTGATCGTGACCATCCGAATTTTGGTCAGGTACGAGGTTTTCAGGACTCTGTGACATAATAAGGACCGATATGTTAAAACTGATATAATTCGGACATGAATGGCATCATTAGGACAGGTATGCTATACTTGGTATATTTGGTATGATATTTTAGAGAAGTATGACATACTAGGACAATTCTGACCTATTTAGGACAGCTGTGGCATACTGAAGAAACATCACATGGGTAACATATACGTTAAAAGACGGGCATAACTTTGTCGTTTGTCAAGTTGTCCATCCATTAGAGACATTTACTGCTAAGATATTGACGGAACAGAAATCAGATTAATGTAAGGCCCTGATTTATTCTAAATATACAAAAAGTCTTGAGGGCACAATGGGATGTTTATTTATTTTTTGACTTTCTACACCGAAAAACTCATTTTGAAATGGATGCGCCCTTACTTCATATTTGCAGTAAATGTGTTTACGTAACAAGGTCAGTTGTTACTGCTGGTAGACTATCTGGCTCGATATTGGCCATAACCTTGCACATGGAATTTATTCTGGCACGGAGCACATGGAACCCTAGTTTTAGAATAAGTTATCAATTGTAGCCAAAACCTTTACATTTTTAATGTTAAAAATAGATTTACTTTTACATTTGTTTTAGAACGCCCGAAGTACCAATTATGAGTTCTATTTGTACGAAATGGCCATATGGTGGAGGAAAATGTTTATTTTGTAATTCTGCATCCAATACTTAAATTTTAAATGCGTGTTTCCTTACTTCGCATTTCTAGTAATCGATAACGGTTATCACAATGTAATATCCAATGTCAAGTCCATAGTCACAGTGTCACAGTATATATATATCTTAATTAATGACGTCATAACAAGTATCAATGTGTAGCTATGTGTAAAGCGTTTGAAGATTGATGAGGAAAGCGCTAATACTGTACAGATCTACCCATGGTTTTTTTAAAACTAAATATATTTTAGTATATATATGGTCGATAATAAAGAAGTTCTTTTGAAGGAAATAAAAAATAAAACAAGTTTATCACAGAACTCATGTTATTTTGCAAGTTTTCGATTTCAGAATCAATTGAGATATATCAACATCGAAACTGGGTTGCGGGGATGTTACTCTAAGAAAGGGAGAAAGGGAAAGTTCACAATTGAATACTTGGAAACGTTTCACCTATCGTATAGCTCAGTGGTAACACGTACGTACGAAATAGTATCTTTAAAAGTTAATAATGCCATTTTTGTATATTTTACTCTATGATTCTCGGATATACTGACGTGTTTAACAGACTTGACGAAGTGGAGTTGAATTATGGCAAAACGACAATTCAGGATCGAGAGTATAACGCTTCACTTATTCCAGCTTTACTTACAACCAGATATGCACATTTGAAGATGTCTTCAAATTCTCCCTCAAAAAAGGGGAAATTCTTTAGAAATTTGTAAACAGGGTCTATTGGCATTGGTTCAAAATAGTATCCTGCTACACCAAGAATGTTATCAAGGCAGAGGTTTGTATTCTAAAAGAAGAGCTAACAACACTTGATATTGAATCGACTGACATTTCATCGCTGAATATAAAAATCTAATAATTCTATGCATGAATAATGATGAAAAGGAGGACTTATCCATAAGGTATGTCCCCGGAACACTTTTCGCACATAATGTTAATTGATATTTTTAACAGCAAAAACATACAAAAAGAAACAACTTTCATAGCTATATTGCTTCAACTAAAACATGAGGGGAAGGGAAGGAACACTATTTCTATATGAATCATATGCGTTGTACCATCATTCCACCAGTACACTTACAGGACTACAAATCAGCGGTTCTTTTTTTACCGCAAGTTTTACTTTACAATCATTTAATGGAAAATCATCACTAATCTTAAATCTGATATTCTGTTCGATTGAGGGAATATAAGAAATACATTATAATCCGCACTTTTATCACAAAACACAAACAAAAACTTGAAACACTCTAAAGGAGAGCGTCAAGTGCGCAGTCCTTATGGAGTTATGAACAGTCTGCAACGATCAAAGAAATTTGATTTCAACAAATTTTATTGGACAAAAAATTGTACAATTGGATGAGACAACATGCTTAGCCTATATAAGTCTTCTCCTATCCGGTATAGATGGACAAAAGCATACATTTAATACATAGCTCAACAAGACGCACTCATATACACTTACAAACATAACTGTGGAACTCTTTTATGCATGACCACGCTTTGTGACCAATTTTCCGGTTTGCACTGTCGTCTGTTTAGGTGTACAAATCATTAAACGGACTCGCAGTAAGTACAGATTACTGTTGATCAAAACTGATGCAGTTTGTTTTTTATTATGAATAACATGGTTTTGACAGTCCGTAAACTTTACAGTCCTAAGCTTTATCGTAAATTCTTTTTTACTGATTTCATGCTAGTCTACTTACGAAAGATGTTCATGAACACGGAATGGCGAAATGTCGTACTTTTGCGTTTTATTTGTATCAAATAATTAACAAGTGACAAAATGAAATTAGAATACTATGTTGGATTAACGATATTGAAACCAATATTTTAGTTCGAGGTATCCGAGTTTTTCGACTTTTCAGGGTTCGAATTATCAGAGTTTTATTTACTAAGATAAAGAACAGATTTGGCCGGGACCGGAGAAACACTTAGAGATAAACGGGGTCTTCGAGTTAAAAGAGTTCGAGATAACGAGGTTCGACTGTAGGCTAGAACATTTAACCAAGTTACAAATATAAGAAACAAAAGAAACATTATTTGATGACATTTGGAAACTTATAATATACTTTCTTTGCAAATCATATATATATTCGTACATTAGGACCACACTCCATAACACACATACACCCTCACATATACACAAAATAAATATGCATTAACACCCACACCCACAAGCCCTTACTCAAAAGCATATTAATTAAATAACTTATAAAAAAAATATAAAATAAATAGGAAGATAAGCATTACTAAATGTAAGTAGATCAACAGATAAATTTCCAAAATGATTAGTGATGTCAGTTATGAAATGTCTATAGTTAGCATAAAGTGGACAGAAGAAGAAATAGTGTTTAGCATTTTCACAAGATGCGCATCAAGAGCAAAAGATGAACTATCAAATGATCATTGAAATTATCAAAATTTAAGTTGCTAGCATTATTACGTAATTGACACAATAATATACTTAGTTTTCTTGGATTACAGGTGATGAATTCTTCCGAAATGTTCCTGTGAGGTGTTTGAATTTTAAATCAAAGAAATGTGCTGAATAATTCCCGATTAGAGTAAATAAATCTTAATAAACAGGAAAATGCCAAATATTGTCCTAAAATAAACTTGATTAAAATTCATAATTAATTCTGAAAAAATAGATAACAAAGGTTTTCCAACAAACATTGCAGTCTATTATTTCAGTAATAAGAAATGTAGCATATTAAACAGATAGAATGCTAATATGACCGCGTGGTGGCGTGAAAATGTCAAAATTATTTGGTTCTTTGCATCGACAGATTCCTTATAGCCGCTTCCTACTTTTGTATCTAGTAATTATTTAGCCGTCAGTTATAGATAGACGAACAGCATTTTGTCGAAATTGGATTCGATGTTGTTCTACGGAAGACAGATAAACGCAAGATTTGTATGCGAGTCAGTGAAAGTTTCCGGCAGACATTCCTTAATATTTCACGAATTATACATGCTCATATTAATTATACCGTATTTTAGTTTAAAACAATTTTGACTTGTAATTGAGTTCTTCTATTGCAATTATGCTGTTTGAAGAGGTATTAAAATATTTGGATTCATGTTTGATTTGAGTAGATGCATGCTTGTACCAACTAACGTAGGGGCTTATTTTGCGGTCACTTGCAATGTTAATTTCGCATCAACGTCTACTTCTTATCAGATTATCTACGAGACAATGTAGCAATGATATCATAATATAGATAACTTAATCGCCATCCACTATCTGACCACTGTATATCAGTTGAGAGTAAATAAAATGTCGAGTTTGACTGACCCCGCTATCTAACATATATCAGCCTCCAAATGGTTTGAAACAATGTATTTACGATATGACATATACTATGCAAGATGAGAAGTGTTGTGGTCACAAAGATCAGTGGACGGTTGATGGACTAAGTTGACCTTGACAGCGGCCTGATATTGACCCTGACATTGACTCAGTTAGGTACAAATATAATGCTCATAAATAGCTCACAAAGATTAACATTATCATTGAGAACTTAAGTTTTAACTGAATGTCTTTTTGAAATAAGAAAATTACAAATATATGAGAAAACAGCATTTCTTCTGACTTATAAGCTTACAGCGTTTTATTGCACATGTAAGGTTTTCTAATAAAGGTTTCTTTGCCGGTTTATTTGACCTAATTTATGAAATTCGGAGAGAAGAACTAGAAATCGTTTTCGACAATTTTAGAAATTTACGATAATCTTAAATGGCTATCTATCCTCAACAATTACAATTAAATCACTCGGTCAAAAACATTGTTTGTTGTAACATTTGTACCAATTTCGTTTAAAATCGACATACAGAAATTCAAAGTTAACCGGAAATTCCTCTGGCACTTACAGGGCAGCCATCCTCGATATGTAGGGGTTACGCTCACTTTCGCTCTCTGCACCCTTGGAATGTTATATGTCATAGCAAAATTGGGCTCGGTGTGCGCCACCTTGCTGATGAAACAAGGTGACGAGATCGATCCTTTTATATATATCAAAATCTCGCGGTAACGTAACGTAAAAATTGACAGGCTTTGAAGTCGGGCGTCTCTCCTTTGTAATAGAGGATACAGATCAGCGTGACATCTCATACTTTGGATGTTTGTGTATAAAAATACTTCCTTCATAATAAAATCAATGCATCCAATGTTATCAACCTAGTAAAATATTTTTTGTACATTTTCTTAATGTAAAATTCTAGTCTAACATATCCATGAACCGTCTCGTATCTAGGTGTTACCCTCAATGTATATCTGATACAAATAATTAACACCAATCGTTGTATTGATCCTTCACTAGAGGGTGGTCGGGTGGCGCAGTGGATAACGAACTCGCCTTTCACCCAAGCGGCCGAGGTTCGATTCCCCGATCGGGCGTGAAAAGGTATTGGGTCGCCTGCTCGACTACGTGGGTTTTATCCGGGTACTCCAGTTTCCTCCCACATTAAGACCCAGCACAATAACATCCGGGCCAACAAGGGTGAAAGATATAAGTTGATATTATAACTTGTTTCATAAATATTGAAAAATAAATAAAGTTTATAATAAATTTAATCTTATATGACTTTTAGGGCGCTGACAGCTATTAGATACATATCTCTAACCCACTGGATATTAGGAAAATCCTAAACTGAACATTAACATAATCTCAATTACTCTTCAGTGTATATGGACTATCTTGTATAATAAGACGGACACTATTTTGTCTAATGAGTTATAAACAAGACCGCTTTAAATTACTTCCCTGTTTATTTTGTTTTAATCTTGCTCCAGGTATCGATTTCGAGAAAAAAACAAACATGAAAAATCCGGGTGTTCTGAGGTGGTCACATGAGTTAATTGGAGTAATGATAGTTACATTTGTGTTTGGTCTCGCTCTAACGTCACTGATCACGAGTCAATAGTCAGCCTACTACCTACAGACTCACTTGTTTCCTAATTCAACCGACCCTACCACGCAAAACGGGTCCAGCTGCAGGATTAACAAGTCGACAGAGGAGTACCACGAGAGGACGGTGGCACAGACGGCGGCGTCACAGCTCGATATATATGCCGCAGTGACAGAAACCGGTCCTGCTCTCCTAACTCTTGGTATCATGGGCACCCTCAGTGACCGGTTCGGAGGGAACAACATTCTGATAGTGAACATATCATGTTGTTTACTTGCCTTCTGCGTTTCTAGTACTATAATTTATTTTGAGGACGACGTTTATTATTTCTTAATTAGCAGCACGCTATTTAGTATAGGGGGTGGTCTATATGGTGCTCTGTCTATTGGCTTTGCCTACATTTCGCACATTGCGCACCCTGATAATAACCCTTCTTGAAGCGTCCATAGGAATAGGTGGAGCGGTATCTGACATTGCCTCTGGGTTCATCATTAAGAATGTCGGTGTCTTCTACGGAACATATCAGTGCATCATTTGCTTTTTACTTTAAAGCATCTCCTAAAAGATACAAATATGTCCTTGGAATCACGTTATTCACGGTTGCAGCACTTTCAATATTAGGCAAACCTCCTTTCGAGGTTCTCTTCCAGCAGAATGTACCGTTTTATTGGTCACCTGTCAATGAGGGGTATTTCTCGGGAATTTCATTAGCATCGAAGATGATCTTAGGTGTAGCCCTCATCAAAGTTATGCAGCTCTTCTTCGCTGAGGAAGCCATCGCTATCCTGAGCGGTATTTCTGGCATGACATCTAGCATTGCGGGAGCATTTGCCGTGAATGACACTACGCTATTTACAGGTCAGCATTAATAATTTTGACGATTCTGTTTTGTTTACTTTCACCATCGATCTTTTTTTATGTTTTAATTTAGGTTGATAAGTTTTGAAAACATCCTATTCTATCAATGGAGAAATTAATTGTTTGTTACATACACGATTATGAATGAAAATGGTAATGTTTATATATGATTTGATGAGTAAATAGATGGGCGTGAATGCAAGGAAATGTATAAGTACTTGTCTATAATCCTGTCATCGAACATAAGTCTATACATTTTTAAATGAATGATGTTTATGAAATGTAAGGTTATAAGAATTCCTGATTAACGTTAGAGTATCCCACCACTTTTCTACTGTACACAGGCGTTAAAAAGTAATATTCGAGTCTTTTTCTCGACAGCCATACAAAGACAAATTTAGAAGGCGAACCTTTTAGGGAGTTAGAGCATTTTGAAATTATCCACAGTAGAATTGCAGAACATTATTGCAACAAACATCATAACCAGTAGCGAAATGGTTAAACTTCCTGCCTTATCATCAAAAGGATTGGGTAGCGGAGCCATGCTGTTTTTGAAAAAGGAAATTATGATTAATTAATTACTATATTATTATATACATGTATTACTCTTTGCTATAGTAGAACAAAAATATTCTACGTTGGAGAAGCAATACAAGGCATTGGGACGCTCTGCCTTAACCAAGATACAATATCCCTAAATAATCCATACATTTAGCATGGCATATTATAGACCAAGGTTGTAAATGTTTACTTATCGATAGCGTTGTGAAAAATTGTCTTTGTGTAAAACTTGTATACCTATATACCATCCATTCACGATAAAACAATTGTTATGATTGATATTTAATTCCTTTTCAAATGTTTAGATTTTATTTGATATAATTACATTTGTTTATCAATAATTAACGTCACATGTTGCAAGATTTCACTTTAGCCGTATAAGAATGTTAACTGTCTTGAATTTTTAACAGGGACCTCAAATTCACATTTATCATTATATATTTCAATATTTCAGTTCCCGTCATAGGTTGCCTAGGCACATTAATTCTCCCCGACGCCAGGGCAATTATGTCTCAACTGATGCCTGCACACAACCAGAGTAAGCGTCTTTTTCATAATACTGCATTTATAATTTTAATAACTTAAATATTTTCTTTAGTTTTTCAATCTCCCATCATACGCCAGTGAAGAATAATAGTATATATGTGAACTATTATCCTTCATATAACATGACAATATATTGAACTATTAATCTCTCCCATAATTCATTCCGGTGTATAAATGTCCTGATATTTGCCAATGTAGACTATGGCATAGGTATATCACTTATAAATCAGTTGCCTGTGAAGGTACATCTCTATCTACTTAACTATTACCATTGTAGGTATCATATTATCAACCATTTTAAGTGCCGTGTTATTTATCGTTGTAGGTGCCTTATCATTTAGAACTGTAGTTGCCCTGTAGTTGCCACAATTGTAAGTGAACTTTTATTCACCATTGTATGTGCCATATTATTCCCAATTGTTGATGCTCTATTATACCATTGCATGTGCCCTATCATTTACCATTGCATGTGCCCTATTATCCACAATTGTAAGTGAACTTTTATTTATCATTGTATGTGCCATATTATTCACAATTGTTGATGCTCTATTATATCATTGTATGTGCCCTATTATTTACCATTGCATGTGCCCTATTATTCACAATTGTAAGTGAACTTTTATTTATCATTGTATGTGCCCTATTATTCACAATTATTCACCATTGCATGTGCACAATTATTCACAATTGTAAGTGAACTTTTATTCACCATTGTATGTGCCGTACTATTCACAATTGTCAGTGAACTTTTATTTACCATTGTATGTGCCCTATTATTCACAATTATTCACCATTGTATGTGCCCTATTATTCACAATTGTAAGTGAACTTTTATTTACCATTGCATGTGCCCTATTACTCACCATTGTAAGTGAACTTTTATTTACCATTGTATGTGCCCTATTATTCACAATTGTAAGTGAACTATTATTTATCATTGTATGTGCCCTTGTATTCACAATTGTAAGTGAAGTTTTATTCACCATTGCATGTGCCCAATTATCCACAATTGTAAGTGACCTTTTATTTCCCTTTGATTGTGCCTATTATTCACAATGGTAAGTGAACTTTTATTCACCATTGCATGTGCCGTATTATTCACAATTGTAAGTGAACTTTTATTTACCATTGTATGTGTTCTATTATTCACAATTGTGAGTGAACTTTTATTTACCATTGTTTGTGCCCTATTATTCACAATTGTAAGTGAACATTTTTACCATTGCATGTGCCCTATTATTTACAATTGTTGATGCTCTATTATACCATTAGCAGTGCCCTATCATTTATCATTGCATTTGACCTATTATTCACAATTGTAAGTGAACTTTTTTACGATTGCATTTGACCTATTATTCACAATTGTAAGTCCCCTCTCATTTATCATTGTATTTGCCCGATAATGTGCCTTATCATTAACCGTTGTAGGTGCCCTATTCGCGGGAATAGCCGTGGTGGATATTGCATCAAACCTTGGAAGCAATGTTGGAGCGTCGGCCATTTACATGGCAACCGTTGGCACCATGCGTGGATTCACTTTCCTGATATTATCATAAATACAATATCAGATCTAGTGTATTGTCAGACGCTACGCTGACGACCTAACACTGAATAAGTTCAATATTTTAGTTGTCATTTTTATCAAATAACTGGTTAAAACAAGTGCTTATACTGCCAGGCTTCAAACGTTTTAATCGTGGTGTTGTGACGACATCACTTGGCAACATCTTCTTTAAAGGCATATTTTTCCATCCTGTTTCGATACTATAATTCTATCTTTTTAAAACATTTTGCTGTTATTTTCGCCCCAGTCGTACTTCTTGTATCTTCATGTATGTTTGAAGAAGAAAAGCACAAGCCTGCGATGGACATCGGATGGTTTCTTGGTATAACCTTCAAAAACAATATTTATAATTATACTTCCGAATTTATCGTATCAAAGTAGGAGGATCGAAGACAGTACATATAGCAGATGTGACTAGAAACATCCCAGACACACAGGTAGTGGCTGTGGATGTAGTGGCAGAGGAGTGACGGGCCAAGGACGGGATGGAATGATTCTACGTAGTAATGTCATACAATAACACAGATATGTGTGTGTGTGTGTGTGTTTGAGAGTGAGGGTGTCGGCGAGGGTGATGGCAAAGGAGTGAAGTGACGGACCAAGGACGGGATGCAAATGATTCTACGTAGTAATGTCATACAATAACACAGATATGTGTGTGTGTGTGTGTGTTTGAGAGTGAGGGTGTCGGCGAGGGTGATGGCATTGGAGTGAAGTGACGGACCAAGGGCGGGATGCAAATGATTCTACGTAGTAATGTCATACAATAACACAGATACGTGTGTGTGTGTGTGTGTTTGAGAGTGAGGGTGGCGGCGAGGGTGATGGCAAAGGAGTGAAGTGACGGGCCAAGGACGGGATGGAAATGATTCTACGTAGCAATGTCATACAATAACACAGATATGTGTGTGTGTGTGTGTTTGAGAGTGAGGGTGTCGGCGAGGGTGATGGCAAAGGGGTGAAGTGACGGACGCAGGACGGGATGGAAATGATTCTACGTAGTAATACAATAACACAGATATATGTGTGTGTGTGAGTGAGGGTGTCGGCGAGGGTGATGGCAGAGGGGTGAAGTGACGGACCAAGGACGGGATGGAAATGATTCTACGTAGTAATACAATAACACAGATATATGTGTGTGTGTGAGTGGGGGTGTCGGCGAGGGTGATGGCAGAGGGGTTAAGTGACGGACTAAGGACGGGATGGAAATGATTCTACGTAGTAATGGCATACAATAACACAGATATATGTGTGTTTGTGAGTGAGGGTGTCGGCGAGGGTGATGGCAGAGGAGTGAAGTGACGGACCAAGGACGGGATGGAATGATTCTACGTAGTAATGTCATACAATAACACAGATATATTTGTATGTGTGAGCGTGAGTGGTTGTTTGAGAGTGTCGACGTGCGTGAGGTTTGTGGGTTTGGGCAAGGTCGAGGGTGTGGTCATTAATTTATTCAGATTCAACGTAAAAAATTGAAACGAGTCATTCGGTTTTGTATAGCTTTCATTCTGCACAATTGATTGAATGCTTGTAATACATGTTAAAACCTTTTTTGTTATGATCTTTTAATAAAATATCATCTAAAATCAAAACACACTTAATCTATACAGCAGTAAAAAGCGAATATGTATAACGACTGTATACAATATACCTGTATAAAGGCCTTATTACTGTAGCCAAGCACCACAACTTAATACCTGTATATAGACCATAATGAATACCAGTATACCGACTATAAACATTATATCTGTATATAGACCCTACTGTATACCAGTATAACCACTATATACATTATATCTGTATATAGACCCTACTGTATACCAGTATAACGACTATATACATTATACCTGTATATAGACCCTACTGTATATCAGTATAACGACTAAATACATTATACCTGTATATAGACCCTATTGTATATCAGTATAACGACTATATACATTATACCTGTATATAGACCCTACTGTATATCAGTGTAACGACTAAATACATTATACCTATAAAAAGACCCTATTGTATATCATTATAACGACTATATACATTATAGCTGTATATAGACCCTACTGCATACCAGTATAACCACTATATACATTATACCTGCATATAGACCCTACTGTATATCAGTTTAACGACTATATACAATCTACCTGTATAAAGGCCTTATTACTGTAGCCCGGCACCACAACTTAATACCTGTATAAAGACCATAATGAATACCAGTATAACGACTATATACGTTATACCTGTATATAGACCCTACTGTATACCAGTATAACCACTATATACATTATATCTGTGTATAGACCCTATTGTATACCAGTATAACGACTATATACATTATACCTGTATATAGACCCTACTGTATACCAGTATAATGACTATATACATTATACCTGTATATAGACCCTACTGTATATCAGTATAACGACTAAATACATTATACCTATAAAAAGACCCTATTGTATATCATTATAACGACTATATACATTATACCTGTATATAGACCCTACTGTATACCAGTATAACCACTATATACATTATACCTGTATAAAGACCCTACTGTATACCAGTATAACCACTATATACATTATACCTGTATAAAGACCCTACTGTATACCAGTATAACCACTATACATTATACCTGTATATAGACCCTACTGAATACCAATGTAACGATTATATACATTATACCTGTATATAGATCCTACTGTATACCAGTATAATGACTATATACATTATACCTGTATCTAGACCCTACTGTATACCAGTATAACGACAATATACATTATACCTGTATATAGACACTACTGTATATCAGTATAACGACTATATACAATATACCTGTATAAAGGCCTTACTGTAGCCAAGCACCACAACTTAATACCTGTATATAGACCATAATGAATACCAGTATACCGACTATAAACATTATACCTGTATAAAGACCCTACTGTATACCAGTATAACCACTATATACATTATATCTGTGTATAGACCCTACTGTATACCAGTATAATGACTATATACATTATACCTGTATCTAGACCCTACTGTATACCAGTATAACGACTATACATTATACCTGTATATAGACCCTACTGTATATCAGTATAACGACTATATACATTATACCTGTATATAGACCCTACTGTATACCAGGATAACGACTATAAACATTATACCTGTATATAGACCCTACTGTATACCAGTATAACGACGATTAACATTATACTTGTATATATACCCTACTGTATACCTGTATAACGACTATATACAATATACCTGTATAAAGGCCTTACTGTAGCCAAGCACCACAACTTAATACCTGTATATAGACCCTACTGAAAACCAATATAACGATTATATACATTTTACCTGTATATAGACCCTACTGTATACCAGTATAACGACTATATACTGTATACCTGTATAGAGACCCTACTGTATACCAGGATAACGACTATAAACATTATACCTGTATATAGACCCTACTGTATACCAGTATAACGACTTTATACAGTATAACTGCATATAGACTCTACTGTGTACCAGTATAACGACTTTATACATTGTACCTGTATCTAGACCCTACTGTATACCAGTATAACGACTATACATTATACCTGTATATAGACCCTACTCTATACCAGTATAACGATTATATACTTTACAACTGTATATCTTTGCATATTGACGCATACATGTACCTGTATATTAGCACTTTTTGTATACATTTTTGTTGACACACACTTTACGTATATAGTGACATTTCTTAATACTTGTATAGTTACAATATGTAATACCTGTATATTTTACACCTTATACCCTGTGTAGAGCGGCAATGGTACAGACACCACAATACAACGTTTTTATTATTATTACTTCCCTTACCAACACATAACAGGATTGAGTTGCTTCCTGTACTGTTTTACTTATTACAAACAGGTGTTGTTTGCTAGAGGAGCATGCACGATCATTACGTGTTGGGGAGGAATATAAACAATAAACAACTAATTAGGCTCCATAATGTATACAACACCACAGGTCTCTTGGTACCTCTTACACATTCAAAAACCTTAACAGCTTTCAAATGTATAATAATCAGAAAATTGTATGCATTGTATACAATACATATAAACTTAAATATCTTAAAATTAAATCCAAACATTTTGCCCATACACTATAGAGTAAGGGTAAGTGTTTATAGTACACATTTCAGCCGGGTACAAAAGGAGATTTATATAAAACGCTTGTGTGTTAATCCAGGTGACGAGAATATGTAAGTAAATATCTAAACACGCTGCTGAACGTGATAGGTTTTTGACAGTCGCCTGGTCCCCTTCATCGATCAGTGGGCTCTCGTATGGGCCCGGACCCTCGCGACACGGTAACGCGGCAGCTTGTCCGTACTGTCAGGATTTAAGATCCGAGACGATATCTGGAAACGACGGGAAACATTACCAGTATCTAAGGAATCGAAGGCCGAACAAGTCTTGATTTCTCTAAACAATTAAATTCTAAGTACGAAATACTTTGTTTTATGAAGGGCCACAGTTCCTGGTTATTGAAATCAGCGGAAAGAAACTCCATTTGGGAGCGACTACTTCTGGAAACAACGGTACACGAATCCGGAGAAAAGTTCTCCAGAAACAACGCTAAAGAGGTAAGATTCACGAAAGTGATACAAAATACTGTTTTATCAAATCAATCGATACGTGTTACACTGCTTTCATTCCTTTTAAATATACAAATCAATATACTGATAAGTGATCATGGAGATTTAAAACTCCTCTACATTGTCAAATATATTTGGAAAATGGCATATACGATGAAAGATCCTTACTTATGTAATGAGTAGCCTCTAGTCTTTCAAAGTACCCCTCGATATATATAGTCTGGCCTCGGGTCCGCAGGTCAATTAGGCATTCCCCTTACTCCAATAATTCGCATTAAAAATATACTTAAGGCGTTATAGTGCATGTATCTTAAAAAAAATCATTTACAGTCACAGTAAACGATATTTTATTCGACTCCTATTTATAGTAAGTTTCGTGGTTAAATAAGTACTGTAAAACGAAGTACGGAAGTAGTATGTCGATAAAGAGAGCCAACCAAAATAAACGTTCTCCTGCTCCATAATGTCAGGAAGGACTCATCACTGGACTAAAACTCAAAAGAATGTTAACCCAAGTCTACAGAATTCCGAAACATATACCAGAATATACCAACCTCGGGGATCCACAAGTCAATATTAATATATTACTGCTGGTCATCTACAGTTATTCTAATGCCGTGCTTCTATTGGTCAAGTATTTTGTCTAACATCGTATTACTATTGCGTCCATTGGCCTATCTAACTATATATGTGGCCACCACGTTTCTAATTTATTAATGTTGGCCACCTATTGCTAATTCTTAGAAGCAGTTGCAAATAATGGTTTCTTTGTTTCACTTGTAACTAAAGTTTCTTTTAGAATTAAAAAGAAAAGTTCAAAATCATCAATGTAGTTTTCATTTTATCAACACGGTCATCATTAGGTAAGGGGCGTGTTCCGTAGGTGCTTGCGTTTTCAGTCGCACACAATAGGAAATTATTAGGCATCTAAGGCATCTAAACTCAGCAAGAGAGGCTACCGTAAAAAGGCCACAAAGACCTCGTTGGAGTTCGCATTGAAATTTACTACAGATTAAGGTCCCCTTTATAACAAAGATAAATACAATATAATTATATCAGCGCTGACCAGAACTTCTGTTGTTTAATTGAAACCATTTCGTTGTCGGTCGAGTGGTCTATCTAGCGTTAAATTAATCACCTGGTGGCCTGTATAAGAGTTGGTGCCTACTGTCGTAGAACCCGAGTTTAGGTAAACACGGCAAGCCAAATGGCAGTCCCTTGATAACACCTTTTGTACAACTGTTTGGCCAACTAAATCACTGCCTCTTTCAGACTTATCAACATAATTTTAATTTTGACATCTGAAAGCGACTTTCAGCGATAATTGTAATCCTTAGATACACTCTATATAGTGTAATTCATGGTATTTGCTAAGCCCGGGTCAGTCATCACATGTATTATACCGGTACACTGACAACATAGGATGTCAGGTCACTGGTGTACTGGGTAGTCCATCAAATCTTGCTTCTTAGGCCGGGACAAGGATGGTACCAGTTGGTGCGTGCATGTGACAACGATGGTGTGTATACCTTCTTGTCTCACGACACTGGGTCCTGGACACGATATTGTATGTGTTCGTCAGCAACGAGTTGTATAATGGTACTTTTTCACGATAACGAAGGTTGAAACATAGCTTAACAAAGGACCAGTCTGTCTTGCAACGTACGAAACGTTTGATACGGACATTGTTTTTGTTTATATTTAGGAAGAGGGCAGTATGTTGAGATGTTCATCAGTTTTAGTATTTGTATGCACTACTTGTCTGTTATATTTGTGTGTACTATTTGCTATTGTATTTGTACGGAGTCTTTGCATGCACTACTTGTCTGTTATATTTGTGTGTACTATTTGCTATTGTATTTGTACATAGTATTTGTATGCAGTACTTGACTGCTGTGTTTGTGTGTACTATTTGCTATTGTAATTGTACATAGTATTTGTATGCAGTACTTGACTGTTATATTTGTGTGTACTATTTGCTATTATATTTGTACGGAGTATTTGTATGCACTTCTTGTCTGTTATATTTGTGTGTACTATTTGTTATTGCATTTGTACGAAGTATTTGTATGCAGTACTTGCCTGTTGTGTTTGTGTGTACTATTTGCTATTGTATTTGTACATAGTATTTGTATACAATTCTTGCCCGTTGTATTCGTGTGTACTATTTGCTATTGTATTTGTGCGTAGTATTTTTATGCAGTACTTGCCCGTTGTATTTGTGTGTACTATTTGTTATTGTATTTGTACATAGTATTTGTATGCACTACTTGTCTGATAAATTTGTGTGTACTATTTGCTATTGTGTTTGTACGTAGTATTTGTATGCAGTACTTGACTGTAGTGTTTGTGTGTACTATGTGCTATTGTATTTGTATGTAGTATTTGTATGCATTACTTGTCTGTTATATTTGTGTGTACTATTTGCTATTGTATTTGTATGAAGTATTTGTATACAATTCTTGCCTGTTGTATTTGTGTGTAGTATTTGCTATTGTATTTGTACGTAGTATTTGTATGCACTACTAGTCTGTTATATTTGTGTGTACTATTTGCTATTGTATTTGTACGTAGTATTTGTATGCAGTACTTGCCTGTTATATTTGTGTGTACTATTTACTGTTGTATTTGTACGAAGTATTTGTATGCAGTACTTGCCTGTTGTATTTGTGTGTACAATTTGCTATTGTATTTGTAAATAGAATTCTTGCCTGTTATATTTGTGTGTACTATTTGCTATTGTATTTGTAAATATAATTCTTGCCTGTTGTATTTGTGTGTACTATGTGCTATTGTAATTGTACATAGTATTTGTATACAATTCTTGCCCGTTGTATTCGTGTGTACTATTTGCTATTGTATTTGGGCGTAGTATTTGTATGCACTACTTGCCTGTTGTATTTGTGTGTACTATTTGCTATTGTATTTGTACGTAGTATTTGTATACAATTCTTGCCTGTTGTATTTGTGTGTACTATTTGCTATTGTATTTGTACATAGTATTGGTATACAATTCTTGCCTGTTGTATTCGTGTGTACTATTTGCTATTGTATTTGTACGTAGTATTTGTATGTAGTACTTGACTGTTGTGTTTGTGTGTACTATTTGCTATTGTATTTGTATGTGGTATTTGTATAGAATACTTGCCAGTTGTATTTGTTTGTAATAGTTACTATTGTATCTGTAAGTCGCATCTGTATGCAGTACTTGCTTGCTACTTGGTACTTATCCATACAAATTTCTAACGCTAGGCATATATACATCAAGGCATTGTACAAACTAACTTGAATGAAAGCGATTCTTAACGCAGCAACTACTGACAAAAAAGTTACAAACATCTCGCAGAAACATTGCCGGTGAAGCAAGGTTCAACAGTGGCGGACATTACATCGAATTATACTCCTCTATAATGAGATTTCTTTATTCGTAATTCTATTATACAAGTGAAAAAATACGAAACAATGCGGACTTGAGATCGGATCAGCATTGTACTCGAGTCATTTATACCCTAAATAGGCTAGGATTAGCATGGTTCGTAAGTCACCGGTAAATTCGGCCATGTCCTTACGTGTATTAAACCCGTTTTTGACACTTATTGGATATCTCCCGTCATAATCCTATAAGTCATGGAAATGAAAAAGTCGTTTCCTTCCTAGGTTTCTAGTGACCTGTTAATACTCTGTTGTTTTCTGTTTATGTTCATTGTGACTGCTATACCACAACGGTGTTTACTTCCAAACTTCCTAATGACCTATAACGACCAATGTTAGTCCCTTCCTTATTATTATGTTCAATAGGACATCTGCATGTACTCTAGTGAGCTCTAATTATCAAGTTAAATCATGTTATCCATGTTGTTGCTACCGAAGCTCAGCTTCCATCCAGTAAATAAATTGCCTTAATCCTACTTCAAGAAATGTAAGCGTTGTATCCGTTTGTTTTCAGTAACCATGCGAGCTTCGTGTAAAACTATTTGTTGCAAATTACAAGCATAACATATATGCCTCATGCATACTTTTACGTATTTGATTCTGTTGGTATTCCTGCAGACATGTATATTTCATATGTGTAATAATATTGGTTGCCTGTTTCAGACCCTGAGCTGCACGCCCTACGATGCCTATGGTAAAACTTGTTTCAGCCCAACCCATGGCTTTCGGTAAGAATGCGCTACTACAGAAACGCTATGAGAACCAATGCAATCACTTAGGGCACGACCATCGCACCACCCAGCGGAAGATTCAGGGCGTGGCAGAGCAATGCGTGGTTTCCGCCTACAACCTACTGATGGAGGCAGAGAAGCATGAGCGAGAGAAAATAGAGCGAGGGGACATCAAGTATGATAGCTCCAATGGCCGATACTCAAGCAAGCCTTCACAGAGCAAGACACGTCGACACCTACAGAAGGTGCGTCCTATGACGGCTGGTCCCGGAACCAGTACTCCACGAGTCGGGCATGACAGGAAGAGGCCTTCCTCTGCCACTGCGAGCCTCGGCAAACATAGTTCCTCCGTTATTTCTATGATAGAGGTTGACAACGATCAGACGGAGGAAAGTCAAATGTCTGTGGAACGAAGAAAGTCAGCATTAGTGAACTCTCAGTCATCAGACATTCAACAATCACCAACTAAAAATATAAACCAAGTAGAACCGCAATCTAATTCTCATTCAAAGCGGACCTCTGATCTACATGTTATCATCCCTAAAAAGCCAACATCAACACAAAATAGGGTACGGCTTCAACTAAATCCTTCGCCCCTAAAGTCCCAAGATCGGGACGGTAGACTCTTAACTGATCGTTCTACATCACGTGCGTCCTCTACGCTATCCCCTGTACTGGAAGTAAAAGAAAATAATAAGAACTTACATAATGGGAAAACCCGTCGTCCACGGACGGCAGACGACTTCCGCCGGAAGTGTGATGAGGACGATATGACAACATACTGGAACAAGCGCGTCACAAAGCTGCTAAAAAGGTGGAATCTAGAGGATATGTCTGATCCTTTTCTTACCAATGACGTTGTTTCTCAAAGTGACGATAATGTTACCCCTCGGATGCCTTCCTCCCCGGTTCTCGAGCCCCCTACTCGTCCACAAGAGCCGCAGACGGATGCTTCCCTTAAAACAAAGAAATTCATTCATACATATGGAAGCCATTTCCGTTCATTGCTTCGGCCAAATTCGGCACCTCCTGTGACCGAGAGCAAAGTTAGGCGCCGACCAGTTAAGGCGACTCGCCAGGAAATGGCCAGCATCAAGGCCGACATATCGCGCAGACGCAAACAGACAAATGCAATACTGAAAAAGAGTAAACATATTCGAAACCACATACAAGCACTTGCAGACTGGAAGTACGAAGGGTGACATCAGGACTGGATACATAATTTTGAGATTATCAAACACATCAGATATTAAAAGAAAGACTTTTTTATAGTCTAGTCGTCGGTTTTGTATCCATTAGTGTAATTGTGACAGCAGATCCTCCCCCCCCCCCCCCCCCCCAATAAGTATTGATAATGGTTTAAAGAGGGCCAACAATTTATATGTACCTTATCTAAATTAAATTTAAACGATCTTCGCGTTTTCAAAGGATACATGAACTTCCGGTTCCCGATACAACTCGGCAGGACGTAACGAAATACAATCACCGATCTGAAATTGTTCCCTTTATTGTTTTATTGAGGACGTTTATGAAAGTGATTGTTTCACCATAAGAGTTTTCTACTGTATGATAGGAAAGGCCCACCCGGTCACATGTGTATGAAGTAAAGGTCCGTACCAACGCCACGTTGATAGAGATTATGAAGGATGTTCATGTCAATCACGGGGTTTGTGTATTGATAGGTATATTTAACAGACGGATATACGAAACGTATCTAGATATTGGTGGTAAAACAGGGACCCGGAAAATCGTTAAATTCATAGATAGCTAATATCCCGATATCGATGATGGAATTAAGGGTATTCTGTGTCTTTGATGACGTCTGTTGCTCCGCTAACGTATCTATTCGACGGTTCCCTTGTCCCTCAGGGTCACAGTGGATACTAACATTATCCTGTTGTCATGGTCACGTGTCTAGAGTTTGGACTCAGAGTTATGTCATGAAGATGATTCGATTCTTTATCCTGTGTCATTGCTGACAAGCGTGCGTCGCGTGGACCGTTGTGTCTGTTGATTATTCGTGAAGATAATCCGAACTCCGGCGCAAACTACCATTAGGATTAAGAATAAAACACATATCCAAATATTGATACATCCAAGCTAACAATATTCTGACAGATATAAAAAGGCTCCTCGACTTTTTACAATTATTCGCGTGACAGGCTATTTAACAACAAAGGCTACATTACATTGAAGACGTTTAAAGGCCTACTGGCCAACACGACGGGATCAACAAAGTAAACAGCCAGTATTGATCAGAAGGTAGACTTATAGTATCAAATATGGATATCGACAGGCAGGTTAAATCAGCAGATTTCTAATCGGAGAAACACCCCGACCGTCCTGACAGTGATCCGCCACATACCTCACTACAATAGTACCGATAGAATGTTTGGTTTATTTAACATTATACTATTCCGCTCAACATTATATCACCATAATATGTAGACCTCTTTGATACCGCGGATCGCAAAATTCAATAAGTACAAATGATGTGCCAATGAAAAATAAAACCCGGCTAGTCAAAGTAAGATTTTAAGAATTTCTAAATAGTCGAGGTTCCTTACACACAAGAGAGATAGACCGTACGGCACCAAAGGAGTCACATAATATCTTTGCTTCAATAGTTTAATAAACAGTCCCGTTGCATTGCACTGGAAGCGAGTACACAATACTAAACCGCTGACAAATATAACGCCTCGGGAGTATGAACTGACGGGAAGTAGATTCCATTGGACCGGAAATTACCTCAAACTAATCTCGAGATCATGAAATATCGCCAGTACGTCAATTAAGACTAAACTATGAGTTAACTAATCGGTTTGCCACAATTGATGAATTGTAACAGTTTTACAAAAGATCGTTCATGACATGTTTTTCAGACGTTTAAAATTCTTGAATGAATCAAAGATATTGCTGAATACGGAAGTTTATATGAATTAGTACCTAAATCAACTTGCATTAATTGACAATCCATTCGTTATATTCTGATACCAAAATTCTATTATCATCTTTGTTTTAGACCTATCTTAAATAATACCACGTGCGTCTTGATTTCCATTGCCGATCGTAGCTCTTGTATATCCAGTAGTATGGATACTGCCAATGACTTGGCGAAAACACACACATCAATTAAAACGATTTAGCATTGATTTGTTGGAGTGTATTATCACCATTGTGGTTGACTCGCTGCATTATTGAAGCACATCCAACAATGTCTAAACAATGGTACTAAAGACCGGTCGTCCTATAACAAATGTTATCACATAACGCTACCACTGAAACATACACGGCAGCCTTTTCCGCCACACTGGGTTTCAATGGATGCACTCGTTGTTCAAGAGCAAATAATGTCTCCAGCAATTGCGGGGCATTGTTTGGGCGCGGCACATATAATCTTAGTTTTCCGTTCTCCATTAATAAGTCATGACTTACGTTCCTTAGATAAAGACCCACGCGTCTTCTTTGTCCCCGAAATGTTGAACGTACAGGATTTATCGTTATATTTTATAATGTTTCCCAAGCACTGTAGCCGAAGACCATGTACACGAATGTCTGTACAAGTATATATATATATACCACAGAGACCGAGCTGATGTAGATGTTCAGTGTTCAGTGTTTAATGAGAGTTTATAACCCGGGATTAATTAGTCGTTTACCTTAACAAATTTGTTGTCAGGAAATGAATTTGAGCTAGTTCAATGCTTCGGTAAAAATCCTCTCGGAATTTATGTGCCTGTGTTCCTGGTAACAGTTACCACCTGACGGAAGAGACCACGGCTATGTGAATAATTTCCGTAAAGGTACAGTTTCCCTTCATTTTATTTCAAATAAACGATTTTAATTAATTCTCCTTCGGTTTACTGACTAATCATCTTTTAAAAATATGAGCAGTTCTATGCAAATCCTATCTGAATACATGGTTATGTGTTTCAGCCTCAGCCCTCCGATATGCCGGTCAAGAATTTGTCTCTGCGCGTGCCGAACCAGGGCGTGCGCAATAGGAACGCAAAGGTTCTGAGGCGATACGAGACTAGCTGTAGGGGTTTTGAGAAGGAGTATTCAACAGCCATGCGAGGCCACAGGGCAATTCTTGCAGACGATCTCCAGTTTGGGTACTATCTCCTAAAACAAATGGAAAAATACGAAGACGAGAAGCTTGTCAAAAGAAACGTAGTGGTCCGATGCACATGCAATGTACCGACCTTGAAAATTGATCTCAGTCGCCCCAACTCAAAACTGGTATCTAGTGCTCCGCAAACGGACAGACCCGCCGAATGTAGTGGTAAGCTCGAGAAAGACGCTCCCCCTGTTCGTCCACTCACGGCCCCTGCGGGAAGATCTCTGACAACCACAGACAAAAAGTACGTCGTCAAGAGGTATGGCAAGGTTAAACAAAAAGATGGCAAGAAAAAGCGCGGAAAACCGTCCCGGTCTCGGTCAGCGCCACTGACCTCCCACCAGGAGGAGAGTGAAGAGGAGGAAGAGCCAATACCTCCTACACCCCTTGCAAGGTTTACACGTACGCACGAGTACAACCGGAAAGTGCTACTATGTCGCAGTCGACAGGAGGAACGCCGACTGGAAAGGATCAGGGAAGCAGAGGAGGATTACGACAATCAGAGCAATTATGATGACGACAAGGAGGAAGAGGACAATTACTTTGCCATAGAGGAAGGAGAATGCCACGAGACGAGGAAACACGACTATTGGATGTTGAAGGTTGACGTTCTGTTTGAAAAATGGCGACGGAACGACAGACAATTGGACGAAGATGATATTTACAGTCTGTACGAGGAGGATTTAGACGAAGAAATATTCGATGAAAACCAAGTTCAATCTTATCTGAAACCAGGATTACGACAGGTGAACACGGCAGGGCGCATCAATCTTGTCAACTTTACCAAGAACAAAGTACTAAAATACCGCTGGGCCTTTGCAGGGGGAGGTTTCAAGAAGAGTGCCGATGACAACCGCAAGAGTAGGCGCAAGTTTGTGACCGCCGAACTCAGTCACCGCGAAAGACAGAAGATACGGGCAGAAGCGGAGACGAAATGTCGGAGAATCAAAAAGATGGTACAGGAGAGTGACTTTCTTCGGAATGAGGTCTACTTGATGGCGCCATTTTATAAAACAAAACAGGCATTAATTGCCAAGGTTGCAGCAAAACAACCAGCGCTGTTTCAGTAATAACAAGATCGACCATCAAAGTTTTTGTTAGTTGAGACAATGTGGACTGGACCATCGGAGTTGTTTTAATGAACACCACGTGGACCATCTGAGTTGTTTTAACGAAGACCACGTGGAACTTCGGAGTTGTTTAAGGGGGAGACCACGTGGAAAATCTGAGTTGTTTAAATGGAGACCACGTGGACCATCGGAGTTGTCTTATCGGAGACCACGTGGACCATCGGAGTTGTTTAAGGGGAGACCACGTGGACCATCGGAGCTGTTTAAATGGAGACCACGTTGACCATCGGAGTTGTTTAAATGGAGACCACGTTGACCATCGGAGTTGTTTAAGGGGGAGACCACGGGGGAAATCTGAGGTGGTTAAATGGAGACCACGTTGACCATCGGAGTTGTTTAAGCGGAGACCATGTGGACTATCGAGTAGTTTAAGTGGAAACCACGAGGACTTTAGGAGTTGTTTAAGGGGGAGACCACGGGGAAAATCTGAGTTGTTTAAATGGAGACCACGTTGACCATCGGAGTTGTTTAAGTGGAAACCACGTGGACTTTAGGAGTTGTTACAGTGGAGATCACGTGGACAATCGGAGTTGTTTATATGGAGACCACGTGCACGTGGACCACCGGAGTTGTTTTGTGCCGGTCAGTCTTTATTTCATCCTCATTTTGTTTTATTTAAAGTTTCAGTGGAGACCACGTGGACTATCGGAGTTGTTTTAGTGGACCATTGGAGTTGTTTCAATAGTGATCACAATAATAATGTGGACCAGATAGTATGTTTGTGTCTCCATTTTCCTTGCATTTAAACGGGTTGAGTATTCTTAAAAGTATTTTTTTTAAGTATTTACACTAATAATGGAACGGATGTAATTGTAATATTTTTGTTTGCTGTCACCAGTCGTGGTACAATCTACAAGTACATAATTGTCTGAAGACTCTCCTAGAAGAGATGAAAGTACTAAAGACTCCTTGTTAAGAATTTTTCTTTATATAATATATATATATATATATATATATTAGATTGTAGGAGAACAAGAGAACAAAAAATACCTACTATATATGCCAATGGTAAAAGACACTTTTATATGCAAAGTATAGATTATACTTGAACAAAGACCTGGATACATTGTAGACCACCCTATGTAGTGTTACAATGACAGTATGGACATCATCAGGCTGGTTGGGTGTTTGTGTTGATATTGGAAAGTCTTTCAGCGTATTTGTTTTAGTAAAAGTCCATCACAACAAGGTATGACTCCAGATCACTACAATAATTCCTGGTGCCCTACATAACTACACTGTTTATAAGAGTTAACTCATAATTGCAATATTCAATGATAATTATGGACAAGATATAAAGGTCGACTATGTTTACAGCTACATCTCTGTACTTTGTAGTATCAAAATAAGTCATACATTTATATAAATAATTGTTTTATTTCATTATAACAATTAACAAATAAATATATAAAAATGATTTCTGATGATGGGTTACTGAGTCAGCTGTTAAAAGTGCTACTCTTAAAAAGAAACCAAGAACAAATACATGTAAAAGTAAGATGGACATATTGCATCTTTACATTGTAGGATTCTTTCAGACATCTGAAAATTAGCATAATTGATTTATAAGTATAAAGTCACTATTGATCCTTTTTTCAACATAATAATTTAAGTAAATTCTATAATACAAATGTAAATAACTTAAAACACATACAGGAAAATATCAAACTTTAAAATTCCAATACCATTAACAAACTGAGGTAGAAACCACATAGCCAGTGTCAGGTTGTCAGTTTTGGAAAGAAACCTACAAGTTTATTAAAATTTAAATGCATAAAACAAACATATTTTCAATAAAATATTTTAATTCAGGGCATTATCATAACTTTCTGTGCATAGCATCATGGCAGTAGCATGACTGTGATACTATTTAGTTTTAGTTTGGTTTTATAGGGTTATCGTCCTATCGACAGCTAAGGTCATTTACCGGGAATATGTTGGGTCTTAACGACTAAATCATATCATATCATGTATAGACAAAGCTCTTTTAAAATATTTACCAAAGACATATGTCCACAAAAATTTAATTCAAATTAGAATAAAACATAAAATACTAGCACTGACACCATATCTTGAAATAAGTACAGTGTCTACCTCATGACTCTCAGGTCTACTAACAATATGTACTGCTGTCAAAGACTGTCCTTCGTAAGCACGATTGTAGGTTAAGGAAATTCCAACCACTCAGTTTTTAAACTTGGTAAAACCTGAGGCTTGTCCAGGGTTTTGCACTTTTTGAAAATCCAAAGGTTAACATTTCCTTATTCTACACCCCTGGGCATGAAAAGGTCACTTTCTCTTATTCTACACCCCAGGGCATGAAAAGGTCACTTTCTCTTATTCTACACCCCTTGGCATGAAAAGGTCACTTTCTCTTATTCTATCTACACCCCTGGGCATGAAAAAGTCACTTACTCTTATTCTAATCACCAGAATTAGCTCAGAAACCACAAGAAGGTGTCACAGTTTCCACATGGCACCATTGGAATGTTTTGAATTTTATCACATCGTTGTTGTCTCATTGTGATTACGGTGTAACTACCTATACACTGTGACGCAGTTGAATCCACCAAATTTTCCAACAGAAAAACATATCAAAACAAAAACACTGCTTGTTGCACCCCCTGTGTCCCCCTACAAAGGCGGAGCCCTGGACCCACTCCTAAACCAATCCACTCTGAACAAGGGCTAGCTATAACACAGGTAATGTCACTCACATCTAACAGGGTGTAAGATAGATATTCCTTACAATCCTTTCTTGCCCTGGACAGTTCTGTCATATACACACAGAAATGAGATCAAAAGATGTCTGTCATCATGACTTGACAGTTCTGTCATATACACACAGAAATGAGATCAAAAGATGTCTGTCATCACGACTTGTGTGATAAAACAGGTTGAACATTGTAGTAAGTGAATTGGCAGTAAAACTATGGGTAAATCATTAACTCAATCAATTAAGACTTTACAATGTACACTTCACTGATTAGTACAAGCTTTTAGAATTTATATATTTGTTTCTCGCTTGTTTTGTTCTATGTTTTGTTACGTTAATAAAAGTATGATCTAGAAAAACAAAAATTTGTTGAGTTATGAATATTTCAAAGTTTTATGCTGAAAAAAAAAATCTGTTGACTTGAATCTCACCTATTATCAGACCTTTTCCTGACCACCAGGTTCGAGAGAACTGACCAATGCACTGTTAAACTCCCATCACCAGACTGATTTCACCTGTAAGTCAATCAAGACCTGGGTCCAGTTGTTCCAAAGATGATTATCTTAGTGACATTTTTCAACCTCTGATAATTTGGTCAATTTAACAGGTAAAAACTCGTAGTTTTGCATGTAATTTTAGTGAACTGAAATATTTGCTATCTGCAAGTTTTAACTCACTTATTGGTTGTGTTTTAAAGAAACACAAAATCAAACTTTGTGTTACTTACCGGTTAAACTAACTATACTTTGAACAATTGGCCCAGGTGTTTGTGCTGCAATACCTACTATCCAGATTGTGTACTGGTCAACTTTTTCTAGTACTGTTTTATTGTACCCGGTATGTAAAGTTTATTTATTTATAACAAGGTAAGGGCTCTTCAGCTTTGGTCCACCTCCTCATGACTAGATAAAAGTCTTAAACCAATGGCTATGTCAGGACTTAGCTATGTATTGTTTGACTTTGTCAATGAGGACAATGCCTAGTTCTTTGGCCTCTATCCATTTACTCTTTTCAACACTAGTGAGGCCTCTTAGCTTCTCCATGTATTGTAGCACTCCTTTTAAAAACCTGTTAAATAGAAAAAAAATCTCAACAAAGAATTATCACTAAAAAGACTTTGTAATTTTNAGCAATAGGTCACTTGAGCTAAAGCTCAGGTGACCTAAAAAAGCATGTACAATGTATATGAAAATTGACATACCAGGTAAACGTAATTAATTTCTATTATTAACATTACCTTTTTTTGGTATGTTTTCATAAGTTTGAACACAACTTCAATTTAAATATTCAGTATGCCAAATATTGTTGTTTTTTGGTGAATAATGTCATATCTGGTCTATTTATCTTTTGACTCCATGTCTGACCAGATCATCTACTGAATTAATATGTGATTTGTTTTCTATCTCATCTGTTGATCCAATGACCTATTTATCTTTGACTCAATATTTGTGTATCTATTTACTTTTTTTTCAATCTTATGACTTGACATCCTACTTGAAGTGTTTTAAACACACGCTCCTTACCTGACTCGGAGTCTGCTGTCCTGATTGGTAACTGTCACATCCAGGGTGTATAGCTGCCACAGGGCCACAAACACCACAAAATGTACCGACATGTGGATACAAGGACAACTGGAAAACAAATACTCAAATACACAAGGGTGTCCACGGATATCAAATTTACTATCAAATACAACTAATTACCACATTACATTAAACATTTTCTTTCCAAACTTCTTTTCGATTTCAAAAGTTCACACAATCCATGCTAAATTTGAATTATTATTCATTCAGTCAAACTTTATTTTTTGACATGCAACTTGCAAGTTTTGACTATTAAGTGAAAAGATAATGTACTTTTACAATAATAGAGCACACCTGCAAGAAGCATTTTTTGAAGCATATTAAATAAATGTATATATATTTATGCTAAGATAACCAAAATGTCATTGGTGTTATTTTATTTTGGATCCAGAATAGCCTTATTTTATTGGCATTCGACTTTTGAAATGTACCTTGTAGTTTTCTGGGGTAAGTGTTGTTTTTTGCCCTATTAGGGGTAGGTATTTAACACATGTTACAACAGACGTCATTAAGGGCTAGTACCTGTTGATGAGTTTTCTCAGACTGTCTTCCTGTCTGGGCCGGAGTTTGCCCGCCCCCCACATTGTCTGTCGCTCACTCAATGCCTGCTCCACCTGGGTGACTACTGACAAACACTCTCCCAGGATCCTCTGTATCAGACCAACGATCTCACTCTGTCTTCCACACTCCACTCCAGCACTGGCTTTACTGGGTGGTGCTTCATCCATGGTTGGAGTTCTTTCATCACCTGTGGGTGTGGCTCCAGCTATGGTGGGTGTGGTTCTTTCAAGAGTGGGTGTAGCTCTATCTACTGTAAGTGTGGCTCCAACAACAGTGGGTTTGGCTCCAATTATGTTAGGTGTGGCTCCGTCTATGGTAGGTGTGGTTCCACCAACAGAGGGTGTGGCTACAGCTATGTTGGGTGTTGTTTCATCTATGGTGGGTGTGGATCTATCAACAGTGAATGTGGCTTCATCTATGGTGGGTGTGATTTCAACAACAGTGGGTGTGGCTCTATCTACTGTAAGTGTGGCTTCATTAACATTGGGTATGGCTCCAGTTATGTTAGGTGTGGCTCTGTCTATGGTGGGTGTGGTTTCACTTATAGTGGTTGTGGCTCCAGCTATGTTGGATGTTGTTCCATCTATTGTGGGTGTGATTCCAACAACAGTGGGTGTGGCTTCATCAACAGTGGGTGTGGCACCAACTATGTAAGGTGTGGTTTCATGAACAGTGGGTATGGCTCCGTCAAGGGTGGGTGTGGCTTTATTAACATTGGGTGTGGCATTATTTATGATGGGTTTGGTTGCATCTATATATGGTGTAAATCTATCAATGGTGGATTTTGCTCCATCTAAGTTGAGTGAAGATTCATCCTTCACATCCATTGAAGGATTTCGTAATAAATCTGATGTGGACTGTAGGTTAGATTGGAGAGTAGCCTCCCCTGGGATAGGAGAATATATAATGCTGGAAGAAGGCTGTAAGTTACATTTGGGTTCTACTCTGTTGAACCTGTAAAGGGTGCTTATTCTCTTAGTCAAAATCTCGTGCACAAATCTTCGACCGTCCTCCATTGGTTGTAACACCCTGGTAATGACAGGACAAAGATAGTATTAACATATTTATTTTCAGGAAAGAAAATAGAGGGTATTAATGTTAAGTGTGAAACCTAAATGGCAGGAGGAAAAGAGTGTGGAGGAGTTGGAGTTAGTAAGGGAAGGAAAGAGTCATGATGCCTACAAAGGACATGCTTTGAGAGTGACTTTTAGTGACAGATGAATAAGACTGAGAATACACACAAACAACCAAGGGATACATTGGTACCTACCCTCCAATATCAAGCTCTGTAGTGACCCTGAAGTCTGTATATATACATTTGTACCTACCCTCCAATAACCAGCTCTGTAGTGACCCTACAGTCTGTATATATACATTTGTACCTACCCTCCAATAACCTGTTCTGTAGTGACCCTACAGTCTGTATATGTACATTTGTACCTACCCTCCAATGACCAGCTCTGTAGTGACCCTACAGTCTGTATATGTACATTTGTACCTTCCCTCCAATAACCAGCTCTGTAGTGACCCTAAAGTCTGTATATGTACATTTGTACCTACCCTCCAATAACCTGTTCTGTAGTGACCCTACCATCTGACCATCTCTGACACACAGACTGTACTAGACTTTCTATCTCCGTTGTCATGGTAACCAGGAGTGGATGTTCCTCTCTACACAGCTCTGTGTAATGGAATGTTGACCTGTAATTAGGATCCACATAGGACAATAAGGAAACACGATCATCACAGAAAAAGTAATTTACCTGTACAACAAGAAATAGTAATTTACCTGTACAACAGAAATAGTAATTAACCTGTACAATGGAAATAGTAATTTACCTGAACAACAAAAACAGTAATTTATATATATTACCTGTTCAACATAAATCTGGTATTTCATATGTCACATCTCTCATCAAACATATCATTTCTCTTCTTTTTGAATAAAGGGAAATTTTAATGACAGGTTTACCCCACAACTGGAGATTACTTCCAAATTGTCACAAAAATTATCTTACACTTCTCACTGAAAAGTTTGTGGGGTTTCAATGTACAGTGCACTGTGCATATTTCCATTGTCTGTTTCAAAAGAAACATTATCAAGGTCATTGAGAAATATAGTTCCTATAAAATATGAGTAACTCAAAAATTGTTTTCCCCCCAAGAATACAACACCCCATCTCCAGATTATGATTAACTCTAGAATAAATTTCTCCTTCAATATGCATGGTACATATCACAATAAGCTTGTTTCTCCTGGAGAGCAGGGAGTACCTTGGTTCCAGATGGAATGTGTAATGTATCTGTCTATTTAACTTGGCCACTTTGTCAGTGACATTGATGATCTGAAATTAGACAGAAAATTACAATAGCATTGTTGATTATCGAGTGTACTCCAATAATCAGACCCCATAAGTCTAATTTTTTCTTTTCATACCATCATGAAAACAGAACTACATTAAGTTATGTGTATATCAAATGAAAAGTTAAAAGGCACTGCAATTAATACTATAGCAATGTTGCAGGTCTGTGACATGGTAGCAACCCAACTTAAAAACATAATACAAGGTTTATGCAGAGACGTATATAACATGGCTTTATACGTCTCTGGTTTATGTTTTATTCAATGTGGACGTTAAATACATAAGGTGACATTCACCAGGATGAATTCTGAGTGTTATAGGCTACAGTGGACCAATCTCCACATATTTATTTTCAGGCAAATCACGTTAATATCCAGGCACATTTTGTATCTTTATGTTATATCAACATCTCTTAATTTATTTCAAATATATATATATGTAGTTGGACAATGTGCTTCTAAGGAGATAATGTGTTTGAATGGAAGAGATATAAGTCCTATAAGTATGATCCACACGAAAAACAATAGCTCAACAAAAGTTTCAAAGAAAAACGTACATAACTGGAAATATAAAGAACCAGAGAAAAATGTTAAGTAAGGGACATAACTCGTATAATATGTGTTGCAACATATTCAAGAGTACCACATGCACATATTTCTGTATTATAAATAAACAAAGTTTAAACAAAATAATTTGATACAAAGCTAGACAATAAGTGCTGTTGGAAGAACAAATGGATTGATTATCAGGTAAGCTGTGGAAAAAACCTTCATTTTCTCTATGCGATAGGTACATGTATTTACCAGTGCTCCATGCCCCTTGATTCATCCCCCAAAAAAGTTTGAACAAACTTGTTAGTTTTTCATTAAGTTTGTATTTAGCTTCCATATACATTTCGTATTTAAATATACACATGAATATGTTCTTATTCAACTTTCTCATACATGTATTGTCTTTTGTATTGAATTTTTACAAATACACTTTTGGCTGGCATACAACTATTTAAATTAAAATAAGACTGGTTTTCTTTTATCTAACACATAGTTATGATTACCTTTTGTTTGACTAAGGCCACAGGATGAAATAGAGACTGATAATCATGCAGTAGTCCTAAGTACTTGGTAAAAGACGTCTGAAAAAAACAAATTTTAGATACAAGGAAAATACCATAACTCTTCAAAATTCATTTATTGACGTACATGACCAATATCATACAAAGACTCCTTTCACTAATATTTCTGAAAGCTTAATATCAATATTTTCTATATAATCTTTGGACACCTAAGACAAGTCAAATTGTGAAACACCCTCTTCATGATCAGTAAATACCAACATGATATGAGCAAACCTAAGACATATTTTCTGTAGCTATTAACAACTGGAGCCCAATTAAATAAAGCTTGTCATTCATAAACTTTGTAACAAAGTAGTTTCAGTTTCTTGAATACTTGGATAATACATACACATCATTTAAATGGTCTTGTTTCTAGAGCCTACAATTTTTTTTCAACTGATAGCTGTCTCCTAAGTTTAAAAGGATGAATATTCCTTCCCTCAACTTTTTCCAGCAATCAGATCTGTGTGCCTATAAGCTTATTATATATGATAATAAAATGTACTTACTGGGGCAGCCTCCTCTCTGGTTATAACGTACAATGCTGTACCCAGAATCACTTCTGCCAATGTTTGAGGAAATGAGCTCAGGTCCACCGCCCCGTGGCCGAGTCTGTCCCGCACCCTGGGGCCTGCTGGGTATTCCAATAAATCCAGTAAAAGGTCCTGTTGTAGAAACAGCGCAGTACCACTGGTTACATAATACTAGTTCTCTTTAAACTAGAAAATGTTTGTAAAATGAACACATCTTCCACTCTGATAGAAATGGACGTAAATAAAAGGTCTTACCAAAGGTATGGAGCTAATCTCAAAGTCTAACCAAAGTTAAAAATATAGGTCACAGTCACCTACATCTTGACCTAAAGTATTACTGGTGGAGTAATTTTGATAAAGAACCATATGCATTCATGAAGAGAATTTGATACTCAGTAGGATTTCCAGGTTTGAAAAGATGCTTTGAAATTTTAGCAAACCTGGTACTTGACCCCTTTAATTTGCCCCCCCCCCCCCCCTTTTCAGTCCTTGGGATGGGTGAGGGTCTTAATTGACATACCATAAAACTGTCATCCAATGATAATAATTCCAATCAAGTTTAAACTTTTTACTATTGTCACTCTGGTAAAATACCAGCTGCTTCCTATCGACTCGGCTTGGGAGAATTTCTCTTTAGCTCATTCGGTAGAGTGTAAGACTAGTAAGCCAGAGGTCCCGGGTTCGACTCCTGGAGAAGGCATTGAAAGAATAATGACCTCTGTTAAACTATTGAAAATAAACTAAATATACTCAAAGGTGTTATGTCCCTTTATTAACTGTAATCAAATATTTTACCTCGGACCTTCACCAGGGGGATTGGGGGATCCTAGAGTAATGAAATTAACAATTTCAATTTAATACTTTAGGAATTTTCTGAACTAGTACTTGTCTGCATACTCATGTGATAAACTACAAAATATTGTGTTAACTTTTACCCTTTCATTTCATTTTTAAACCTTCTGAATGCTGACCTGTACATAACTTACCATACAATTCTCTCCTAGCTGACCTGCAACCTTGTTCCTTAGACCAGTAGGTAAAAAGGGGTCTAAGATCTGAAAATAAGGTAAGGATCTTATCATATATACGTAACAACCTTGCTCCTTATACCAGCTGGTAAACATAAGTCTAAAATCTGAAATAGTGATTACATATGTAGCTTCTCATTTACTCGTTTCAGTTAATGTAGATTGTTCGTTTTTCATCTCATCAAATTATATAAAATGTCAATTACCTCATCAAATGTTGTGTAAAGTGTTGTTGCCTACAAGAAGAGTAAAACAAGTTGTCATAACCAGTGTCGTTATCAACAACATAACACTACATACAATGTTGATATGCACTTTCTATTTAACTCATTCACCCCTGAGATTTCATAATGAACTATTCCAACCTTTGAATTGGAAGAGTTCGAATGTGTCTTCAGGGGTGAATGAGTTAAACTAGTTTAAACTATTTTTCTTTTTAATCTCTAAGATGCCACATTATAATTAAGGTCACAGTTTTGCATAATATGCCTATATTTTAACATGGATATTTATCGTTTTCTCATACAAGATTCTGAGGTCCTCTTCATTAGACTCAAAGAACAATGCTCCACATTTTGATGGGGGCTAAAAAGACCTCATACAGGACTTGCTGATTTGACCCCTGTCTGACTGGCCTGTCTAGGTCCGACTGTTTTCCTCTGATCATGCCTCAGTCTGCTATGACTTGTGCCATTCTTACATTTCTTGTAATTTACCTCGGCTGTGAGCACTCTCTCTGGACATCGGTTGACTACCGAAAACAGAACCCTCATGGCATGTTCCAGTTGGGGTAGTATCAACACAGCAAAGTATCCATACCTTAAAATACATCATGGTCATCTGATACAACTCTATTATCAGAACATTATTATTAGAAATTGTTGTCATAGTTACTTTATTAAATCTGAATTTTATTTTCCATACCAGGCATGTTTATACACATGTTTTTGCAGACTTATTGAATGTGTGCATACTAGTAGTGTATACACATGTTTTTTAAACTTATAGTATGTTTGATTGTAGGATGGGAAATAACTCCAAAACAGCTATAAACATTTCAAATAGACACTTCAGCAATGAAGTTTCCCTAAAGCTATAAAGATGTTATTGCAGACTCTGTATAATTTTTGAAGATAATATACATGAATGAATGTTTTATGTTCGTAATACGTACTTTCCTTTATAGAACAAGTCCAGTGCAGCAGACCACACTGGTAGCAAGGACCTAGAAATGAGGGCCGAGTTATCAAACAGCTCCAATATCTCTGATCTGGCTGGTGTTTTGAATTCTATAAAACACAGAAGACTCTTTTCAATAATTACGCTACCTACAGAATTCTCTAATAAATATTCAGTACTGATACAAGCAGGTTAACTGCTCTTGCTGTTAATGTACCATTCATTTTGGGAATATTTAAAATATCAGTACTGTACTATGAAATTTATTATTGTAATTTTACCCCATATTACGACCCTTTCCACTTTCAAGGTATAATGTACCATTTCAAACAAACTTGAATATTCAATCTTACGTGTAGAACACTCTAAATATCATGGAGAAGTCTGGAAATAACAATTTTGAAGATGACGTTCAAATCTAACTTCAATTATGTTGAGTTTTGATCATTTGGTACAGTATATTTTTATCCAGCAAAATTCTAAATTTAACACATTTGATATCTCTGTGTTCAGTTATATGAATTATACTAAGATATCTGATATTATTTTACCTGTAAGCTTTGGGTGATACACCGCTAGTTGTGGGAAGTCTGTGTACGGTCTGTGTATAATGGCAGTAACTTGTCCCAGTACACATCCTAAACTAGGCACCAGTAGTAGCAGGAACCAGGTGTACCTAGAAGTAACAGAATGATATAATACTACACACTTGTAGGACATTATTGGATTGGAGTGCTGATAGAATTTTAATGCCAATGTGGCTTATGTGCACAGTTTTCATATTCTTTTCCACACTACCTCCGTACTAGAAGACACTACCTCGATCTGTACAAGAAGCTAGTGTGAAAAATGGCGCAAGAGATTTTCTTGACATATGTGTACTGAATTTAGACTAAATTGATGTCCAAAGTGTTATATCACTACACAGCAATGCATTTCCTTAATAATTTTGATAACAGATCTCTTCACATTTGTGTTAGTTACACGGTTCTCTATGATATATTATTTTGAGAACTGTACCACTGTAGCTTACCGAAATATATATTAAGACTTCACAACCTTATACAAGAATTTGTTTCAAAACATTTTTTTCCATGCCTTAAGAATGGTTGGGAATTAGAGAGTAGCAGGATGGAGCCTCTACATTTGTATTCAATAAATCTGTCATATTGCTTTCAATCTCAATCTTCATATAGGTACCAAATGTATAACAAAGACAATGTAAACCAATGATCATCAATAACTATGCCTGTCACATGATAACAGTCAGAGTATCATTATTAACTCCTTTAGCTTTTACACTATAAACATGTACTGGTTTCAGGCAGCAATATTTCTTATACAATCATTCTGTGCAGGACATACATTTGTAAACAACATCAGAATCACCTGTGTGGTATTTCCCCTGGGGTAGGAAAGCCATGCCATGTAACATTTCGTAAGTTGAGAGATGTGGGGGGTCCTAACACTACACGTAGTGTTCGCATCTACGAGAAATAAAGTACATATAGGTTTGTGAGATTTAACAACAGTGGGATAGCAGCAAACATTTTTGGAAGGTTCACATAAATTCATTGAAACAGTTAGAATCAAGTATATTTAATGAGTGTTCTTATAATTAAATGATGTTTTCATTTAGTTTGTTACCAATTATTCAAATTCACATAAAATCTAACAATTTACAAGAAAAAAACATGAAAATATCATTGAGTGTTTAGTTGATGGTCATACTTACCGCAGCTGATCCAAAGATCTGTGTCAGCTCGGGAGTAAGTAACAGATCCTTCAGCATAGACGGACACTGAGATCTTTTCGTAAGGTATACCTGGGACATAGATATGTTAATTACCAGTAATATAGCTGGGACATAGATATGTTAATTACCAGTAATATAGCTGGGACATTGATATGTTAATTACCCGTAATATAGCTGGGACATAGATATGTTAATTACCGGTAATATAGCTGGGACTAGATATGTTAATTACCAGTAATATAGCTGGGACATAGATATGTTAATTAGCGGTAATATAGCTGGGACATAGATATGTTAATTACGAGTAATATAGCTGGGACATAGATATGTTAATTACCGGTAATATAGCTGGGACATTGATACAACAACTGGAACATAGATAAACTGTTATACATACCTGGGACAGAGATACCCTGGTATATACATCTGTGGCCTAGATATCCTATTATATACACATGGGGCCTGGGACAGAGATACAGAGATACCCCGATAATTACACTTGGGACAGAGATACCCTGGTATGTACATCTGTGGCCTAGATATCCTATTATATACACATGGGGTTTATATACACTGATATGTACACATGGGGCCTGGGACAGAGATACCCCGATAATTACACCTGGGACAGACATACACACTGTAATTTTTCATTGAACACAAGCAAACACATTAAAGTAAATTTAAATAAGTAATTACTTTTTCTTTTTTCTACTTAATGATGTAAAATGTAGCAAATTGGAATTAAGTTATAAACTGAATTTACACATTCCTAGATATAGTTGTATAACTTTAAACCAAATAAAAGAGAAATTCAAACTGTAATTGTTTGATACTGGCAAAGATGTAAGATAAACATACATTCAATTTCAAATGAAACGCTCTACCACAGGTAAGATTTCCCCCCTCTGCCAGATGTAAGACTCAAAGTATATATCTTACATCTCCAAGGGATCGTTCTAACATAGAGGTCAGAATCAGCATCACCAACATGTGGTCCACATTTGCCCTTTCCTCTGATGCTTGTAAAATTTGAAAACACTCTGTCAGTTCCTGAAAACAATCACCAAATTATAACCTTACCAATCAATTCAGTAAGAACTCAAAGTTTGTTGGCTCTGTTGAGCTACTGGTTGTAAAGTAGTATACAGTATTCAAAATTCTCAACCCTTTCTGTGCCTGACATCATTTTAGGAATCATTAATGCAATGACATCATATGGCGTTCTGTGGACCAGACAGTTGGTGTTATTGAGGTCATATAGCATTAGCTGTATAATACTGACTTACATGGACACACTTGTTACTCTATTAATATTTCACTATTGTCCTATTATTCTTTGATATAAGTTTTCTAAATAAAACCCCTAGACTATGTGCCAGTGTACATATGCAATCATTTAAAACCAAAATTCGAAGTAAAGTGCTTTTGAATGTTGATGCTCTGATTATGATGGTAACATTTTAGAATTTTATGTGATCTTGGGCTTTATGCCTTTTACCTTTGGAACACCCGTCCATGATGTAAGGGGAGATAAGTGGCGATTATACTCTGCTGTTGTTAGTTTGGAAAGGTAGTCCTCAGATTGAAGAAACAGTGGAGTGAGAAGCCCAACACATCTCTCAAAGTACAACTTGTCATCAGTGAATTCTAATGGGTCTGAAAACAAAGAAGGACCAAAGAATGGCTAAAACTAAATGCAAGAAAAATATAAAATTATATACAGTTGATCACCCATTATTGCTGTGAGTTAATTTTAGCAAATAGCTTTAATTGAAATAGTCAAGTTTTTATAAACCAAAGGTTCCACTTGATAAAAGATGTACACTGTACCTACATGAATTTCTAGTATTTACTTAAAGGCTTCAAGATGGCATGAATATTGGTTTAAGCTACTCACATATATGTACATGCGCAATAATTTGGACAGGGATAAAATTACAATCATGATTAATTGCTGATGTTAGAATGAAAGTTCATCTAATGTTGGTCTGATGGTAACTACACCTGTCCTGCTGAGAAAGCCCACATTTTAGGTCAAAATATTTAGGTATTGTAATCTTGTGTTGCAAAAGCTCAAAACACCATCATAATTGCTGATGTAATATGAAATTACTGACTGACCTGGGAGGGTGGTCTTCACAGCCTTCCAGTCCACCAGACCATCACCTGTGAGGAAACCTGGCCCGTCTGCCCGACAACAAACGCCTGTGTTGTTGATGAGATGGTTCACGCCCGGAGACAGGGCAGACATGCTCGCTGTCAGGATAGCTTCCCTGTAACTTCTCTCACACTACATGTTGGCTGACAATACAAATAAAGCAATATTCTTGCAATCAAATGTATAATTCTCTAGATGCAGATTTCCTTCAGTTTTTCTAAATAAAAATCAAAGGGCAAAAACTTAAAATATAATTTGAATGCTCATTACAAATCAAATGCCAAGTATACATGTACTGCATGTATCTAAATGATAAATCCAGGTATCTGTTGTATTTCCCCTGATACATTTTAATGGTTTTGCCTGGCCCTGATTTCAAACTTCCAAAAATACACCGATACATATATATTTTTTTTTTTTTTTGTGACATGAACAGATGAAATGTCATGTTATCAGGTCGGGGAAAACCACTAACTTGTGTATAATACGCAAACTTGCCTATTATACACCAATAGGGGTATGGATTTGTTACTAAAAATAGCCAAAATCACTTTAATCTTATTTTTTTCACATTGTTTGTCCAAGTCGCATTTATTCAGTCATGAAACATAATACAAATGCAAAAATAAACTTTATTTGCATGTGGGAAAGTACCAAAAACAGATGCAATACTTCCGTTAAAGTTACATCAAGTTCCTAAGTAGCAAACGCTTTCAGTAAACATCTTTTAGCAAAATATTATTTACCTTGTCGTAAATTAATGCGATTTTTAATAATATCTTGCAAAGGTTACTGTTAAAGCGATTTGGGTTATTTTTAGTAACAAATCCATACTCCAACTGGCGTATAATAGACGAGTTTACGTATATACGCAAGTTGGTGGTTTTCCCCAACCTGGTTATATCAGAGACATATAATACAGAGATTGGCAACTCATGCTGATCTCGCAAAAACACGCATGATCTATGAGTGTTTGTTTTGACAGCTTATCGATCCTGGTGACGATAGTCTGGTCAGTGAGTTTACCTGTGTGAGAATTTGATCGTGTATTCGTTAGTTCGTGTCAACATGTCACATATCCTAGATATATGGATCATATAAAGAAGCTGGTTAGAAATATAATGTTATATCTGAAAACCTTTTTGAAATTGTCTAAAGAACAAAAACGGAGTTCGTGTTCTCATTTGTCATGATAGAAATAACCCATGGCATAATTATGTTTTGAACAGGACAGGATTATTGAATGCAGCGAACCGTATATCCAATATGGTGCAGGTGAAGCGTAACTCGCGATACCAGTGACCAATGGTAAGGCCAAGAGCAAGTTGCCAATCTCTGTATTATACGTCTCTGGTTATATGTCGAATACAACACCGGCATCATCAATATAACCGGGAAAGAGTACTTTTCATATATTTATATACAAGATGCAGAAGCTGTGCCCTATACATACCCTATAATATAAGTGTATAGAATATATTGACAGACGGGGCTAGTGCCTGTGGTTGGACGTCAGGTTTACTGTGCGGCTGCTACTGGACGTTGTTCATCAGAGCTAGTGTCAACACGTGCATCTTTAATGTAAATATGTTACTGCGGAATCCTGTAACATTTACAACAAATATACGTAACTTACAGCAATTCAGATCTCCCTGTCGTTACACCTGCAGTCCTGTACACCAAACTTTTGATGTTGGCCAGTTATGTTTACGGAAGTCACCAGATGCAGCTAATTTAGGAATACTTCCGTTGTCAAATTCCGGAACAGTGAAATTTTCAGAAATACTAAATAAAAAAAAAATTACTTCATACAATTTGCTTTTTATATCAGATATGTAAAAATATTGATCTGAAAAGTTTAATTTCATTTAATATATTTCAAAAGTGACATACGACAAAATTTACAGTAAGGCAGGGATGTGTAGTGGATACAAGGTTTTTTTTAAATCAAAATTTATTTAGTATTGAACAACGTATTCCATTAGTATTTTTATTTTGGATTCTGGGTCATCTTTGGAACCAATTTCAGCAGCCCTGTGTCTCTGTGTGTCTAACGATTTTTAACTAAAGGTGCGATTGATTCTTAAATTTGCATTGGTTTTGCAGCAGCCATGATTTTGTTATATTATTTTATCCTTTCAGGTAACCTTCTTTAGATTTATTCAAGAAGTTGGCGTTTGACCTCAAAGCGAAATCATCATTTCATCGTTTAATAATCCTTTATCAATATAGTCTCATCTTTCACAATAATCAGACATAAGACTTGGAAAGGATATATATCTTATTTCAACCAACGACAATTAATAAAAACAATATTTACTTGACCTTGGTTTTTGACCTCATGTTAAAAGGATTGTCCAACCAAATTATATATCATTACAGTGTATTGAGTGTTTGGTCATGTGATACATGTCCGTCTCTTCCTTAATACATGTTGAAAACAAGTGTGATTAATTGTAGTGTGAGGTTGTTCATTGTTTGATTTTAAAGTAAGTCTGTCCCTTGTTTGACACACCTGCGGGTCGGGGATCGGGAAAATATCGTAAGAGGCGACTAATATGGGAAACCCTGCATAATTGGAAATTACATGTGGACACAAAAGCAATCAAAATAATTCTGCTGCACCCATTGCAATATTTGGGATATTTACATTTCTTTCTAATTCTACCTACCTTTTTTTCCTAGTGACTTGCTTGGCAAAATCTCACTTTTGACTTAAATGTTGAGCATTCGCCCAGGTGAGGAAGGCAATGGGTTCTGTCCACAGACCGCGAAATATCAAAGTCCTAAAATGGTAGTTGTTATTTCCCTGATTAACATTTAGCATTTAGGGGAATGGCATAATGTGATTGGGCGGAATGCTGTGCTGGGTGCCTTCGACATGACATTTCAATGAAATAGCACTACAAAGTCGGCATCAGATCCGCACCTGTCACAAGGAGACACATACACCACAATACCCTGCCTACTGCACACACACGCGCAGGCACGCATCCACAGCAAACATGGAGGCACGTCCTTAAACGACATTAGATGTTGATAGGACGTAAAACAAAATAAAACAAAACCAAGCCATTGTGTGAATTGAGAACAAGGGCCCACTTGTATAAAACATCTCAAAGTTAAGGAAAATCTCAAGCAATGTATTGTCTATGGGAAATCTTAGACTTGAGGAAATCTCAAGAGTTTAGATGCTTTATACAAGTGGGCCAAGGTTTCTAGTATCAGATTTCCCTTGTTTAAATTGAGTGTAAAGTTGTCCCTTGTTTAAATTGAGTGTAAGATTGTCCCTTGTTTAAATTGAGTATAAGGTTGTCCCTTGTTTTAAATTGAGTATCAGATTTCCCTTGTTTTAATTGAGTATAAGGTTGTCCCTTGTTTTAAATTGAGTATCAGATTTCCCTTGTTTAAATTGAGCATAAGGTTGTCCCTTGTTTTAAATTGAGTATCAGATTTCCCTTGTTTAAATTGAGTATAAGGTTGTCCCTTGTTTTAAATTGAGTATCAGATTTCCCTTGTTTTAATTGAGTATAAGGTTGTCCCTTGTTTTAAATTGAGTATCAGATTTCCCTTGTTTAAATTGAGTATAAGATTGTCCCTTGTTTTAAATTGAGTATAAGGTTGTCCCTTGTTTTAAGTTGAGTATCAGATTTCCCTTGTTTAATTTGAGTATCAGATTTCCCTTGTTTAAATTGAGTATAAGATTGTCCCTTGTTTTAAATTGAGTATAAGGTTGTCCCTTGTTTTAAGTTGAGTATCAGATTTCCCTTGTTTAATTTGAGTATCAGATTTCCCTTGTTTAAATTGAGTATAAGATTGTCCCTTGTTTTAAATTGAGTATAAGGTTGTCCCTTGTTTTAAATTGAGTATCAGATTTCCCTTGTTTAAATTGAGTATAAGGTTGTCCCTTGTTTGAATTACCTTTTAGTAAGTGTTAGGTTGTTCCTCCTTTGATTTGAGTGTTATATGTTCGTCGTTTGATTTTTGTTGCAATGGTATTTCTAGTTTATTTGAAATGTAAGATTGTTTCCAGTTAAATTGTAAGATCCTAACTACGCTCTGGTATATCTGCTATGAATCAGATTTAGTCCCAGAAGTTGGTCAAGTTGTATGTACGCGTTAACGTTTACTTTTATGGTCGTTTCGATTAAAACGATAAAATCAGTTCTCATTATATGTAGTCCTTTACGTGCATGTTTTCGTATAATAACAAAACAAAAATGTTCTGCGTATATATTAGTGATAACCACATCATCGTTTATAGTTACATTACATACATCATTGTATAAGATACCGTGAACGTCTCGCCAGATTTCAGACATGTATTACACGGTGCAAGCACGCTACCACCAATTTGTCTATTGATTCAGCAAAGGTTCAGTTATTGACAATGATCTTTGACACACGAGCAGTGTCTTTAAACTGCTGGTCACGCTAATGGATGTTCTGGGAGAACGTTTTCCAAACCTGCTTGCAAATTATCTTGAAGAAAAGCATTGTCATGGTTACAACATTATCGACATTTTATGCTCTTGTTTTCAGTTTATAATAAATTTTAATTAAGCCAGGCTATAGCGCGCTGTGTATAGTGTCTTGGCTGGTTATTGTGAATGGCTGCTGAGCTGATCCCCCTCCAGATAGCATCTCGTCAGACTCGCAGACCCATCAACATTGGCAAAGGCATGTACGGATTTAACAGATCGGCACATTTTTAATGGAAGACAATTTAATGTAAAAATCATGTTAAGGAAACAACACGACCGCAGAAGCATTACATAACGAACTCCCTTGGGTATTTATCTAAGCATAAAGTATTTATAGCAACTAGTGGGGTCAACAACGTGAGTTACAGGCAAAAGGAAGCGGCAGTCTGCTTGACGAACCTTTCTTTGCCGAGTTGATGATATTCTTGATCTTGACCTCCGTCTTTCCGCTTTACTTACACAATTTGTAATTCACCGGAAGTTAGATACAAAAACCATATTTAAAAACAAGAAAACGACAAACTTTGCAATCTCGCCCGTTTAACGAATGTTAGCCAACGTTTCTTAGCGATCAGTGAAAACATGACGAATTATACAACTTTTCATCCGCTTTCTCTCGTAAAAACATATCAATTCATTTAGGGACGATAACGAGAAAACGTAACTTTTTTTATTACAACGATTTTCTTCGCTTTGTGCCAGTTTTGTAGAAACGAAACTCTTGTGGCCTGAATGGAGACGGACTTATTTTAGAGCAAATCAATGAATTCTTAGACTGTGTTCCATGGTTGAAATGTGCAAAATATTTTAGTCTCTCCCAGCCCTCATTAATATCAGAAATAATTTTGTAACATGTAACATACTTTTAGTCTTTCACTGTCCACGACAGTGTCGGTAAAGATTTATATGAGTTCTATGGGTGATGTAACATACTTTAATATTCCCCTGTCCTCGACAGTGTCGGTAAAGATTTATATGAGTTCTATGGGTGATGTAAAATACTTTAATTTTCCCTGTCTTCGACAGTGTCGGTAAAGATTTATATGAGTTCTATGGGTGATGTAACATACTTTAATCTTCCCTGTCCTCGACAGTGGCGGTAATGTTTTCTATGTGTTCTTTGGGCGATGTAACATACTTAAATCTTCCCCTGTCCTCGACAGTGTCGGTAAAGATTTCTATGTGTTATATGGGCGATGTAATATTAACATACTTGATCTTCCCTGTCAGTATGTTACATTGCCCATGTCGAGGACATGCTGTCAGTAATGGTTTCTATGAGTTCTATGGGCGATGTAACATACTTTGATCTTTCCCTGTCCTCGACAGTGTCGGTTAAGATTTCTATGTGTTATATTTGCGATGTAACATACTTAAATCTTTCCTGTCCTTGACAGCGTCGGTAATGATTTATATGAGTTCTATGGATGATGTAACATTCTTTAGTATTCCCCTGTCCTCGACAGTGTCGGTAATGATTTATATGAGTTCTATGGATGATGTAACATTCTTTAGTATTCCCCTGTCCTCGACAGTGTCGGTAAAGATTTCTATGTGTTATATGGGCGATGTAATATTGACATACTTGATCTTCCCTGTCAGTATGTTACATTGCCCATGTCGAGGACATGCTGTCAGTAATGGTTTTTATGAGTTTTATGGGCGATGTAGCATACTTTGATTTTTCCTTGTCCTCGACAGTGTCGGTAAAGATTTCTATGTGTTATATGGGCGATGTAATATTGACATACTTGATCTTCCCTGTCAGTATGTTACATTGCCCATGTCGAGGACATGCTGTCCGCACCAGTGTCAGTGATGGTTTCTATGTGTTCTTTGGCCGAAGTAACATACTTTAATCATCCCCTGTCCTCGACAGTGTCGGTAATGATTTATATGAGTTCTATGGATGATGTCACATTCTTTAATATTCCCCTGTCCTCTAAAGTGTCGGTAAGGATTTTTATGAGTTCTATGGATGATGTAACCTACTTTAATATTCCTCTGTCCTCGACAGCGTCGGTAATGATTTCTATGTGTTCTTTGGGCGATGTAACATACTTTAACCATCCCCTATCCTCGACAGCGTCGGTAATGTTTTCTAATGAGGTCTATGGATGATGTAACATACTTTAATATTCCCCTGTCCTCGACAGTGTCGGTAATGTTTCTATGTGTTATATGGGCGATGTAACATACTTCAGTCTTTCCTGTCCCTGACAGTGT